CCCTCCCTGGTCTGTGCAGGGCAGGAGTTATGCTAGCACTGCACCCTCCCTGGTCTGTGCGGGGCAGGAGGAGTTATGCTAGCACTGCGCCCTCCCTGGTCTGTGCAGGGCAGGAGGAGTTATGCTAGCACTGCACCCTCCCTGGTCTGTGCGGGGCAGGAGGAGTTATGCTAGCACTGCGCCCTCCCTGGTCTGTGCAGGGCAGGAGGAGTTATGCTAGCACTGCACCCTCCCTGGTCTGTGCAGGGCAGGAGTTATGCTAGCACTGCGCCCTCCCTGGTCTGTGCGGGGCAGGAGGAGGTATGCTAGCACTGCGCCCTCCCTGGTCGGTGCAGGGCAGGAGTTATGCTAGCACTGCGCCCTCCCTGGTCTGTGCGGGGCAGGAGGAGTTATGCTAGCACTGCACCCTCCCTGGTCTGTGCAGGGCAGGAGTTATGCTAGCACTGCGCCCTCCCTGGTCTGTGCGGGGCAGGAGAAGTTATGCTAGCACTGCGCCCTCCCTGGTCTGTGCGGGGCAGGAGGAGTTATGCTAGCACTGCGCCCTCCCTGGTCTGTGCAGGGCAGGAGAAGTTATGCTAGCACTGCACCCTCCCTGGTCTGTGCAGGGCAGGAGTTATGCTAGCACTGCGCCCTCCCTGGTCTGTGCGGGGCAGGAGAAGTTATGCTAGCACTGCGCCCTCCCTGGTCTGTGCGGGGCAGGAGGAGTTATGCTAGCACTGCGCCCTCCCTGGTCTGTGCAGGGCAGGAGTAGTTATGCTAGCACTGCACCCTCCCTGGTCTGTGCAGGGCAGGAGTTATGCTAGCACTGCGCCCTCCCTGGTCTGTGCGGGGCAGGAGGAGTTATGCTAGCACTGCGCCCTCCCTGGTCTGTGCAGGGCAGGAGTTATGCTAGCACTGCGCCCTCCCTGGTCTGTGCAGGGCAGGAGTTATGCTAGCACTGCGCCCTCCCTGGTCTGTGCAGGGCAGGAGTTATGCTAGCACTGCGCCCTCCCTGGTCTGTGCGGGCAGGAGTTATGCTAGCACTGCGCCCTCCCTGGTCTGTGCAGGGCAGGAGTTATGCTAGCACTGCGCCCTCCCTGGTCTGTGCGGGGCAGGAGGAGTTATGCTAGCACTGCGCCCTCCCGGGTCTGTGCAGGGCAGGAGTTATGCTAGCACTGCGCCCTCCCTGGTCTGTGCGGGGCAGGAGGAGTTATGCTAGCACTGCACCCTCCCTGTTCTGTGCAGGGCAGGAGTTATGCTAGCACTGCGCCCTCCCTGGTCTGTGCAGGGCAGGAGGAGTTATGCTAGCACTGCACCCTCCCTGGTCTGTGCAGGGCAGGAGTTATGCTAGCACTGCGCCCTCCCTGGTCTGTGCGGGGCAGGAGGAGTTATGCTAGCACTGCACCCTCCCTGGTCTGTGCAGGGCAGGAGTTATGCTAGCACTGCGCCCTCCCTGGTCTGTGCGGGGCAGGAGAAGTTATGCTAGCACTGCGCCCTCCCTGGTCTGTGCGGGGCAGGAGGAGTTATGCTAGCACTGCGCCCTCCCTGGTCTGTGCAGGGCAGGAGTTATGCTAGCACTGCGCCCTCCCTGGTCTGTGCAGGGCAGGAGAAGTTATGCTAGCACTGCACCCTCCCTGGTCTGTGCAGGGCAGGAGTTATGCTAGCACTGCGCCCTCCCTGGTCTGTGCGGGGCAGGAGGAGTTATGCTAGCACTGCGCCCTCCCTGGTCTGTGCAGGGCAGGAGAAGTTATGCTAGCACTGCACCCTCCCTGGTCTGTGCAGGGCAGGAGTTATGCTAGCACTGCGCCCTCCCTGGTCTGTGCGGGGCAGGAGGAGTTATGCTAGCACTGCGCCCTCCCTGGTCTGTGCAGGGCAGGAGTTATGCTAGCACTGCGCCCTCCCTGGTCTGTGCGGGGCAGGAGGAGTTATGCTAGCACTGCGCCCTCCCTGGTCTGTGCAGGGCAGGAGTTATGCTAGCACTGCGCCCTCCCTGGTCTGTGCAGGGCAGGAGTTATGCTAGCACTGCGCCCTCCCTGGTCTGTGCAGGGCAGGAGGAGTTATGCTAGCACTGCGCCCTCCCTGGTCTGTGCGGGGCAGGAGGAGTTATGCTAGCACTGCGCCCTCCCTGGTCTGTGCAGGGCAGGAGGAGTTATGCTAGCACTGCGCCCTCCCTGGTCTGTGCGGGGCAGGAGTTATGCTAGCACTGCGCCCTCCCTGGTCTGTGCAGGGCAGGAGGAGTTATGCTAGCACTGCGCCCTCCCTGGTCTGTGCAGGGCAGGAGTTATGCTAGCACTGCGCCCTCCCTGGTCTGTGCAGGGCAGGAGGAGTTATGCTAGCACTGCGCCCTCCCTGGTCTGTGCAGGGCAGGAGGAGTTATGCTAGCACTGCGCCCTCCCTGGTCTGTGCAGGGCAGGAGAAGTTATGCTAGCACTGCGCCCTCCCTGGTCTGTGCAGGGCAGGAGTTATGCTAGCACTGCGCCCTCCCTGGTCTGTGCGGGCAGGAGTTATGCTAGCACTGCGCCCCCCCTGGTCTGTGCGGGCAGGAGTTATGCTAGCACTGCACCCTCCCTGGTCTGTGCAGGGCAGGAGTTATGCTAGCACTGCGCCCTCCCTGGTCTGTGCGGGGCAGGAGGAGTTATGCTAGCACTGCGCCCTCCCTGGTCTGTGCAGGGCAGGAGGAGTTATGCTAGCACTGCGCCCTCCCTGGTCTGTGCGGGGCAGGAGGAGTTATGCTAGCACTGCGCCCTCCCTGGTCTGTGCAGGGCAGGAGTTATGCTAGCACTGCGCCCTCCCTGGTCTGTGCGGGGCAGGAGGAGTTATGCTAGCACTGCGCCCTCCCTGGTCTGTGCGGGGCAGGAGGAGTTATGCTAGCACTGCGCCCTCCCTGGTCTGTGCGGGGCAGGAGGAGTTATGCTAGCACTGCGCCCTCCCTGGTCTGTGCAGGGCAGGAGTTATGCTAGCACTGCGCCCTCCCTGGTCTGTGCAGGGCAGGAGTTATGCTAGCACTGCGCCCTCCCTGGTCTGTGCGGGCAGGAGTTATGCTAGCACTGCGCCCTCCCTGGTCTGTGCAGGGCAGGAGTTATGCTAGCACTGCGCCCTCCCTGGTCTGTGCGGGCAGGAGTTATGCTAGCACTGCGCCCTCCCTGGTCTGTGCAGGGCAGGAGTTATGCTAGCACTGCGCCCTCCCTGGTCTGTGCAGGGCAGGAGTTATGCTAGCACTGTGCCCTCCCTGGTCTGTGCGGGGCAGGAGGAGTTATGCTAGCACTGCGCCCTCCCTGGTCTGTGCAGGGCAGGAGTTATGCTAGCACTGCGCCCTCCCTGGTCTGTGCAGGGCAGGAGTTATGCTAGCACTGCGCCCTCCCTGGTCTGTGCGGGCAGGAGTTATGCTAGCACTGCGCCCTCCCTGGTCTGTGCGGGCAGGAGTTATGCTAGCACTGCGCCCTCCCTGGTCTGTGCGGGCAGGAGTTATGCTAGCACTGCGCCCTCCCTGGTCTGTGCGGGCAGGAGTTATGCTAGCACTGCGCCTCCCTGGTCTGTGCAGAGTGGGAGCAGACGCCTTCCTTGGACTTTCCCAGGTCACTGTAGAGCCAGATCGCTCTGAGCAGCGTCCCAGCCCTTCCCTGGTGTCCGTCCAGCAGGAGCTGTGAGCAGCACCTGAGGCTGTCCCCAGTTATGCTCTCCTGAATGTGTGACTGGGCACCGCAAGCCTCTTCTCTAGGCCTCGGTCTCCTCATTTCTAAGGTTTGGGGGTGGCTTTCTCTGTATTTATTCTAAGCAGTCGGGAGGGAGACTGCTTTTTATGTAGAAGCTGTTTTTCCGGGTGTTGGCGGGTGGGTTACAGACCTGTTGGGGTCTGAAGCTCTTTGAAGAGGCCGAGGAGTTTGGGGGTCTCGGCCACTCCCCTGGTATCCATGTCCCCCACTGCGCTCAGGGAACCCTCCCAATCTTGGATATCCTATTTTCAGATCCTTTGTGGTCCTCCTTTGGGAAGGAGGATTCAGATCTGTCCTGAAAGTGACGTTTTGTAAGGGGGAGATCGAGAGCCAAGTAGGCCGTGGTCACATAATCTCTGCCTCACGGTTACATGGCCAAGGCAGCGGTGGCCCACGTCAACCCCTGGCCTCTCTGCTCTGGGTCCTGGGACCATACCCTGTACTTAGATGGTGGAGTTGGGTTTGGGTTCAGATGCTTAGGTTTCCTGGTGGACAAGCAGCCCTCCCGGGGCTGAGCTGCTTTGCTGCTATTTCTGGGCGCATGGCACCCCCTGGTGGTCATGACAGCATCTGCGCCCAGGTGTTTTTCAGGAGGTTTTCTGTTAATAGCTCTCAGACCCTGGGAAGTCACCGGTCACTCCTCTGACCTGGAGCCTTCGCACACCCCAGTTGTCGACACAGTGGGCCCTCTCTCAGGTGGCATGATGGTTAGAGCGTGAGGTCTGAGATGCCCTGGGTACAGATGGGGGAGCTCATCAGCCTGCCGGTGCCCTCACCATCACCCAGACCTCTGCTCCAGCAGTTCCTTGTGCCAGGAACCCCGCTTTGCTAACTGGATCACCTCCTTCAAGCCTTTGCTCACATGTCACTTCACAGGGAGGTGTCACTGCCCCTGGCAACTGTAATGTGGTGATTTAGTCCCTAACACACTCCGTGCCTTTAACATAGTGTGTCTTCTTACTTATAGGTTATTGTTTGTCTGGACTAGAAGCTCCAGGAAGGCGGGGGTTTTGTCTGTTCTCAATTTCTTCATTTCTCCACCAATGTGTCCCAAGCACTTAGGCGTGGTCCATAGTAGGTGCTCCAGTATTTGTCGCATGAATTCACGTTGTCTGAGGACCTAGTATGTGCACAGCAATGTGTCAGGACTCCCTAGGCATGGACTGTGCTGGTCAGTGCTGAGCACACAGGACGTCAGCAGTGGGGGCCGTGACCGCCCCTGATGGGCTATCACTGCTTCTCCTGGCTCTGGACCCAAGAACCTTCAGCCATCTGTCAGCATTGTTATTGTCACCCCTCCCCCGGCAGTGCTGCACCTGGAACCATGAGCGAGGCCCGCAGGGACAGCACGAGCAGCCTGCAGCGCAAGAAGCCACCCTGGCTGAAGCTGGACATCCCAGTTGTGGTGCCCCCGGTGGCAGAGGAACCCAGCTTCCTGCAGGTAGGCTCTGGCCAGCATGGGCTGTGGGTACCTCCCATCCAGCCCCCTCACCACGACCCCGTTGCCCAGCCCCTGAGACGCCAGGCTTTCTTGCGGAGTGTGAGCATGCCGGCTGAGACAGCCCACGTCCCTTCGCCTTACCATGAGCCCCGCCGGCCGGCGCTGCAGCGCCAGACATCCATCACACAGACCATCCGCAGGTACCGCCCACTGCCTGGCTGCTCCCCGGGTGACGGTGGGGGCTGGTGGGACAGAGGCAGGCATACAAGGTCCCCTTTGGGTATTGAGTCTGGAAACGGGGCACGGGCCCCTCCTGTCTCGGCGTTCTCCTCCATCTTGTTCCCCAGGTCGCCCTGCCCAACTCCTATTCTGGGGACAGACTCCTCTCATCTACCACTCTTCTCTGCTCCCCCAGCACTTGCTCTCTCCTTCTCTGTCTCCCTCACCCCAATGCTATGGTCCCTGAACAGCCGACAGGTGCGCTTTGGGCGTGTCCACACTCTGCCCCTCTTGGGTTCCCCTGCTGCCCGCAGGGCCCTCCCACAGCGCCGGTCTCTCTCTCGGTCCCTGCTCAGGTACCTCGGGCAGGGTGTGAGTGTGTGAGCATCAGCTGGTGTGTGCATGGCTTGGGACCTCTCGGGAGCTGCCAGCACGGTTTGATTCCCTGGGCTCCCAACGGCAGGTGCTGGCAGCGTTTCGCTTGCATGACAAGGGCTGTGAGTGAGCTGCCGGGGCTTGCAGTGCCCAGTTCTTGAGTTCTGTGGTGTCCAAGGTCAAGCTCTCTCTGGATGAGCTGAGGGCTGAGCTCTGAGCACCATCTCTGGACTCATTGTCTCCCCACAACCCCCTCAGGGATGGCGTGTGAGCCTGGATAAAATGTGCACCTGGGCAAGGCCTATTATCTGTGGTTCTAGTGGGAATTTGGAGTTGGCTCATTGTTTAGGGATAGCCAGGGCTGGAACCCACTCATCCTCGTAACCAGACCTAGCCCACTGGACCCCAGACCCTGGAGTGACCGGAGGCCTGGGGTGGAGCATGCTGCCCAGGGGGAGGCCTCTGAGCCCCTGTGGGGAGGGGAGACATGTGCTGCCCCTTGTTGAGACCCTCCCATGGCAGGGGCACAGCTGACTGGTTTGGAGTGAGCAAGGACAGTGACAGCACCCAAAAGTGGCAGCGCAAGAGCATCCGTCACTGCAGCCAGCGCTATGGGAAGCTGAAGCCGCAGGTCATCCGGGAGCTAGACCTACCTAGCCAGGACAATGTGTCGCTGACCAGCACTGAGACACCTCCTCCGCTGTATGTTGGGCCATGCCAGCTGGGCATGCAAAAGGTATGCCCGCCCCCTGCTGCCTCCCGGAGGCCTCTCACTGCTCCCCTGGGGGGGGACATAGCCAACCTGAACAGAGGAGGTTCCTTGGAGCCCACGGTCTGGGAGGGTGGTCACATGGTCCATAAAGACACCTAGGATAGTTCTGGGAGGAAGGCCTGGGGGAGGGGACAGGGTCCTGGGATTGTATCATAGGGCCGGCTCTGGATGGGAGAGCACCCCAGGGTGAACGGCAGTGTAAAGGCACTACAGGTGGGGAGAGGGACCCCGCTGGGCTCAGTGGGGTGGGGGTGGTACCCATAGTTGTCCAGGCGCCCGCCGTGTTTTCCACAATGGGGCTTGGGTGGGCAAGGAGCTTCTAGGGTGATGACCCAGCCCCCAACCCTGCATCTCCTCCCCTTCGCCAGATCATAGACCCCCTGGCCCGGGGCCGGGCCTTCCGCATGGCGGATGACACCGCCGATGGCCTGAGTACCCCGCACACGCCCGTCACTCCCGGTGCTGCCTCCCTCTGCTCCTTCTCCAGCTCCCGCTCGGGTTTCAACCGGCTTCCACGGAGACGCAAGCGCGAGTCTGTGGCCAAGATGAGCTTCCGGGCGGCCGCAGCGCTGGTGAAGGTGGGTGCAGGGCCGGGTGGGGGTGGGGCGGCCTGCTTGCCCGCCACATGCTCACTTCCTCGCCGGCAGGGTCGCTCGGTTAGAGATGGCACATTGCGCCGGGTGCAGCGCCGAAGTTTCACTCCCGCCAGCTTCCTGGAGGAGGACACGGCTGACTTCCCCGACGAGCTGGACACCTCCTTCTTTGCCCGGGTAAGAGCACAGGGGTGTCCCCGGAGACCCGCCACCTGTGCGCTTCACGCTGACCACGCGTGTTTGCTCAGGAAGGTGTCCTTCACGAGGAGCTGTCCACGTACCCCGACGAGGTATTCGAGTCCCCGTCGGAGGCAGCGCTCAAGGACTGGGAGAAAGCCCCGGACCAGGCTGACCTCACGGGAGGGGCCCTGGACCGCACAGAGCTGGAGCGCAGCCACCTGATGCTGTGAGTGGGCGGCGAGGCGGAGGCGGGTGGGCGGAGGTCAGGAGCAGCTGGGCCCGAGGGCGGCAGGCCCCGGAGGGCCGAGGAAAGGGTCCACTTGGCTGCTGTGGCCGGGGGACCAGGGCTGGGCACCTATGCAACAGGAGCGCAGCCCCAGAGCCCTCAGACCGAACAGAATTCAGCGGGAGGCCAGGGAACCGCTCATAGGTCTGGTCCCACCTCCCTGCCACTTTGTTGGGGCTCAGGATGGCTCTTCACTGGTGAGGAGGAGGTGCAGAGTGTCCTCACCACTGCACCAGAGCAGGACAGAGAGGGAAGGTTGCCAGGGCCAGACTGCAGCAGGACGGGGGTCTGGGCTGGTAGGTGACCTGCCCCTTCCCCCAGGCCCCTGGAACGCGGCTGGCGGAAGCAGAAGGAGGGTGGCCCGGTGGCCCCGCAGCCCAAGGTGCGGCTGCGTCAGGAGGTGGTGAGCACCGTGGGGCAGCGGCGGGGCCAGCGCATCGCAGTGCCCGTGCGCAAGTTCTTCGCCAGGGAGAAGAGGCCTTACGGGCTGGGCATGGTGGGCCGGCTAACCAACCGCACCTACCGCAAGCGCATCGACAGCTATGTCAAACGCCAGATTGAGGACATGGATGACCACAGGTAGGCACGGAGGGGATGTGGCTTATTGCAGGCAAGGCTCCGGGTTGGGGGTGGGGACGTCACCTCCACTGACGCTCTACCCACAGGCCCTTCTTCACCTACTGGCTCACCTTCGTGCACTCACTCGTCACCATTCTAGCAGTGTGCATCTATGGCATCGCACCTGTGGGCTTCTCACAGCACGAGACGGTGGACTCGGTGAGCCCTGCTCCCTTCCTGGGCTGAGACCAGTGGAGTCTGGGCTCTGGACTCCCTCCTGCCCACTCCGGGGGGAGAGGGCCCAAGTAGGCTGCTTCTGACCTCTCCAAATCCCCAGGTGCTGCGGAATCGCGGGGTCTATGAGAATGTCAAGTATGTGCAGCAGGAGAACTTCTGGATCGGGCCCAGCTCGGTGAGGGGGGGGGCCTGGCAGGGCAGCTGGGCGGGGACCCTCAGCTGGCAGGAGACGGGCCTCAGCTGTACATCCCGCTCCCCGCAGGAGGCTCTCATTCACCTGGGTGCCAAGTTCTCCCCCTGCATGCGCCAGGATCCGCAGGTGCATAGTTTCATCCGGGCGGCGCGGGAGCGGGAGAAGCACTCGGCCTGCTGTGTGCGCAACGACCGGTCGGGCTGCGTGCAGACTTCGGAGGAGGAGTGCTCGGTGTGTGCCCGCCCGTCCTGTGTGCTTGTGCTGCTGCTTCAGGTGGAGCCAGCTGTTACCCTTACCGTCCCCCTGTGCAAGGTCCCTCACGTCACATTTCTTACTGTTTTTCCCCAACTCCTCTCTCGCCCCACGGCCACTGTGACGTTTTTGATTTGGGTGTGCTTTCTGTGTCTTGTTTTGAGCGTCTTAAGTTTACATAAGTGGCATTGCCTCGTATTTCCCACTAAACAATTACAAAAAAGATTCGTCCTAATTTTTATATCATTTTATTAAGTGCCAAAGTTGATACCAGTCCCTGACTTTGGCACAGGTTGTTTTTAATTTTATGCCAATAGGAACCTTGCTCTCAAGTTTACAACACTCTCCCATGTGCACCCACATTTCCGGAGTGTAAATGTATAGATTTTGGGTTGTGGGTTCAGGAGGAGCTCAGTGGTTCTGCTTTTGATCCCTGCCTTCTGGAGCCTGTGTGGAGTGAGGGGTGGGCTCTGACCAGGGGCTGCCGTCTCCCCACAGTCCACCCTGGCAGTGTGGGTGAAGTGGCCTTTGCATCCCAGCGCCCCAGACCTTGCTGGCCACAAGAGGCAGTTCGGTTCTGTCTGTCACCAGGACCCCAGGTCAGTGCTGCTGGCCCCGTCCTTACCTTCCTCCCTCTGTCCACGTCTCCCTGGGTACTGGTGGGAGAGGGTGTAGCTGTTCCCCTAGTGGAATTGGGTGGAAGGGTGCCAATGCCAAGGGCACAGAGCAGGGTCTGACCATACACTGGGCTCATGCAGGGTGTGTGATGAGCCCTCCTCTGAGGACCCCCATGAGTGGCCAGATGACATCACCAAGTGGCCGGTGAGCTGGGGTAGACATTGTTGGGGTTTAGGAGTCACCCTTATGTGGGGGAAGAATCCATACTTCACCCATCTGTGATGCCAGGTCCCCATCGTGGGACCACCCAGTTTCCAGATGCAATGCCCCTGGTCTTTGCCTAGCCTGTCCCTCCACCAACACCTGTTTCTCTGAGGAGACCCAGGTAGTCTTGGGAGACCAAATGACATTTCAGTTTGACACATGGTAAAACTGAGGCTCAGGGTGCAGTAGCTCGCCTGAAGTCACAGCCTGTGTTCTACTGTAGGAGCCCGTCCATCTTTGCCTCAACCCCCAAACAGTGTTGGGGTACAGGGTTGGAGGAGGCCCTGACCCAACTCACCCCCATTTGTGACCTAGATCTGTACCAAAAACAGCGCTGGGAACCACACCAACCACCCCCACATGGACTGTGTCATCACAGGCCGACCCTGCTGCATCGGCACCAAGGGCAGGTAGGTGTGCCTGTGCCCAGCATTGCCCTGGGCTCTGCCCTTCCCCAAGTTCCGGAATAACTCAAGATACAAAGGGTTATGGGGTGAGAATGGTCTGGACTAATCCAGGGCCAAGAGGAGCGAGTGGGGCTGAAACCCAGGCCAGGGTGGTGCAGTCAGGTGCCCCTGCCCCAGGCCCCAGCGGTGCCCCTCTGCAAGCCTTCCCAAGCCTGGCTTGACCTTCCAGGTGTGAGATCACCTCCCGGGAGTACTGTGACTTCATGAGGGGCTACTTCCACGAGGAGGCCACACTCTGCTCTCAGGTAGGCCTCCAGGGTGTGTCCTTCCCCTCTCCCCCCGCCCCGGGGAGTGCTGACCGGCCGCTCTGCGCAGGTGCACTGCATGGATGACGTGTGCGGGCTCCTGCCCTTCCTCAACCCCGAGGTGCCTGACCAGTTCTACCGCCTGTGGCTGTCCCTCTTCTTGCACGCTGGGCAAGTGACACCATATGGGCTGAGCAGGCTTGGGTGGTCTCAGGGACCCCAGGAGGCTGGCCAGGGGCTGATGGGCGGTCTTCCCTGCTGAGTGCCCTGCCCCCCCGCCCCCACAGCATCCTGCACTGCCTGGTGTCGGTCTGCTTCCAGATGACTGTCCTTCGAGACCTGGAGAAGCTAGCAGGCTGGCACCGCATAGCCATCATCTACTTGTTGAGTGGTGTCACCGGTAACCTAGCCAGTGCCATTTTCCTGCCATACCGGGCAGAGGTAAGGCTGTCCCCAGCCCAGCCTGGGAGCATCCCATTTGGCTCCCCAATCCTGCTATGCTCTGGACTGTGACGTGGGATGGCTGTGGGTCCCGGGGTCCTGCTCAGATGCCCGCTGCCCGCAGGTGGGCCCAGCCGGCTCGCAGTTCGGCATCCTGGCATGCCTCTTCGTGGAGCTCTTCCAGAGCTGGCAGATCCTGGCTCGGCCCTGGCGCGCCTTCTTCAAGCTGCTGGCGGTGGTCCTCTTCCTCTTCACCTTCGGCCTGCTGCCCTGGATCGACAACTTTGCCCACATCTCCGGCTTCGTCAGCGGCCTCTTCCTGTCCTTTGCCTTCCTGCCCTACATCAGCTTCGGCAGGTTCGACTTGTACCGTAAACGCTGCCAGATCATCGTCTTCCAGGTGGTCTTCCTGGGCCTCCTGGCTGGCCTGGTGGTCCTCTTCTACTTCTACCCCGTGCGCTGCGAGTGGTGCGAGTTCCTCACCTGCATCCCCTTCACTGACAAGTTCTGTGAGAAGTACGAGCTGGACGCCCAGCTCCACTGAGTGGCCGGGGCGCTGGGGCCACCGGTCTCCAGCAGGCTGGAGCCAGGCAGACTGTCACCCCGAGCCTCAGAGGCCCCAGGACTGTCAGCAAGCAGACCTCTTGTGCCTTGTTCACTGCTGTTGAACCTCTTGTACTTCTGGGCATTTATTACACTAGTTCCTGTGATTACCTTCTAACTAGTCTCTTGACGACCACCTCATGTGGCCAATAAATGGACTGGGAGCGTTTTAGCTGCCACTAACTTGACCAGAGCTGCCTCCTCCTTTCTGACAGGTGTCCGAAACATCTCTCCCCAGTGAAGTCCCCAAGCCAGGGGGACCCACCTCGCTCCCCTTCCTTAGAGGAACTGGTAGGAACAGTGGGCACAGGCCAATGGATGAACTGTCACCTTTTCTCACACACACTTAGAGGTGCCCCCATCACCCAGCCATCAGCTCCAACTTCAGCCCTAGGCTACCTCCCGCTCCAGGAGCCAGGGGGAGGGCACCGAGCAGATGAACCCTGTGGGCTGAGGCCGGAGGCCTCGTGGTCGTGCTCTCGCACACAGGTCCTTTGTTTCTCCACAGGCAGAAGCAGAAGACCAGCCACTCTGCTTTTATTTTCTCCTTGCTGCAGGGATCATAGTGACAGGGTCGGGTGGCATCTTAGACTTTAGGGCTCACCTGCACCATTCTCTGCCCCTTGCCTCCCGTGATGGGGCTGCGCTAGGCCCCCATGTCCTGGTACTGTGGCTTTTTGACGTTTCAAACTAAGAAGCAAAGAGATTTATTCTGTACACAGGGCCAGGCCCACAGCCCAGGCCTTGAGCACTGGCTCACCCAGTCCTACTCGGGAGGGCCCAGGGTTCACAGACAGTTCCAGTTGTGCACAGCCGGGCGAGTCCACCTCAACACTCTTCTGTGAATAGGGACAGTGACCCGAAGCTTCCGCTCGCTGGGGAAGAGCTTGGCCACCAGCAGAGTTGTCCTTATTTGGAGATTCATTTTTGCCTCAGTTTTTTGATGAAGGACACCTCATCCCGATTCCGGATACCATAACTGAATGAGAAGGAAACGTGTCAGTATCTAATCTACAGAAGGTTATGCCTGTGACTCCTCATCTGAGGCTTGTGAGAAACCAAGAAAGGACAGGTGGGAAGAGCGCGGTGTCCAGGAAGGCAGAGGGACAGCGGCCACCCTCCCACAGCAGCCTTTCACCTCCGCGCACACTTTGTTCCCTCTGCCTGGCTCTGTGTAGCCCTGACCTGTCACTGGTGAGAAGCACCAGGCCCTTCACTGCTCCTCTGCCTCCATTCTCCCAGTAGGGAGGGCCCCCAGCAGGAGGGCATCACTCTAGCCACGATTCTCCTGGTCTCACAATTCCCCAGGAACTGACTGAGATCCCTCCTTCCTGGGAGGGGACCCTAGCCCTCTAGCAGAGTATGTGAAACTAGAGGTCACAGTCCAGATGCCTCCCTGCAGCTCAAGATGTAGCCTGAACTTACTCTCGGAGCTTCTTCCTGTCCTCCGTGAGCTTCTCTCCTGCAGAGATTAGATGGTATGTCCTCCACACATAGGACCTGCAAAACAGGGATTCAGGTAAACCACGAACAGGGGGAGTTGAGCCACTGGGATGCAGAAGTTGTGTGTGAGAAGGGCTCATGGGGCATAGCCATGAGCTATACACAGAAGCACCCGCCCTGTCTGAAGGATCTTGACAGGGAGCTCATCACTTCAGTCAGTACTTTGTAGCAGAGACCAGGTGATTCAAAAGCTCATGTCCAGTGGTGTTCCTGTGGAGTCCCGCACCAACTCCCAGGGAGGGCTGTAAGGGGCTTTACTTACCAGCTGATGTGCTGAATGCCCCCTTCACGCTCCTGCCTGAGCTGCACGTATCTCTGGATGGCCTTCTTCAGATCCAGGACCGTGGCATTCTGCACTACAACCACAGCTGCAACAAGGGATGCACATGAGGGAATATCCCACAGCCATGGCCTCAGGTGGCGGGTGAAGAACCCAGAAGCCCTGTTGAGCCCTGTTTCTGATTGAGGCTCAAGTCTGGGCAGGGTGGGCTTGTGGATGGCCGCTCAGTATCCCACTGACCAGCCCCTGTGAAAGCTCAGCCTGCATGGCCTGAGGGAGGAGGACAGCACTTACGCATGACTTCTCCATCCATCTTGCACACTCGGACTGTCATTGCTTGGCCATATTCCAGGGCTATTTGGGAATTGACCTCTTCCAAAGTAACCTAGAAAAGACCAAGGGTGAAGGTGAGTGCCCTGGCGGGAACCGAACCCAGAACTCTCTGGTCCGCAGGCCAACGCTCCAACCACTGAGCCAAACCAGGCAGTGCCCTGGCTCTTTACCGCCCTAAACAACAACAAAGAATAACAAGCTGATAGTGTCCAAAAAGTGGTGCCATATTTTATGAAGGACAAGGAAGGAAAGGGATTCTTGCTCATATATTTGGGCTTCCAAGTTTTTAAGCACCTCAATCTCATGTTCCACCCATTTGTTCTATTTAAAGTCCAAAGTGGACAAAAGCTTGGAAGAAAGAAACAGAAACAGGCAAGAAGAACCAACAGCCCTGGATGCTCTCACCCAGGGGCTGGGTAGGGGGAGGTACATTGTACTTGTCAGTTCTGAGAGCCCCTGATCACCAACCAGGATCCAGGCCAGGGCCTTGGGACAAGGTTTTGGCAGCTGTGCAATGATAAACATTGTAATACAACTTTTAAAAAAATATATAAGTTAACTTTAAAACTCCATGATGGACAAAATAACATTGGAACTTGAGAAGTCATACTGACCTAGTCTTTATTATTTTGTTTGCCACTGGCTTTGTTTTCACCCCAACTTGGGTTATAAACATATTGTATTACGATGTCATGTATTCTGACTACTAGGATTTTATTTATTTATTTTTGTGGCGCCTTTTAAATTCCGCGCCCAAGGCGAGAGCCTCGCTCGCTCCACTCTAGGCCCGGCCCTGGTTAAGACCCTCATTTACGGCCAGAGGTGCTCTACAGGCCTCTGGACCGCAGCCCACGTCCATCAGCACCGGACCTGCCCATGTTCCCCTGCACGGCCCGGTCCCCTGCCCCGCACACCTGGATCGGCAGGTCGCAGAGCAGTGGGTCCTGTACCACCATGGCGAGACCCTCCTGGAACACGTCCACCGCCTCGGAGTGCGGCAGCGCTTCCTCTTCGTCCTCATCGTTCTCAGGCGCCTCCGGTCGTGTGGCCGCCGCCTCCGCGTCCGCGTCCGCCTCCTCCAGGGCGCCTCGCTGCCCCGCGCGCTCCGCCCGCACCGCCTGCCTCCGCGAGCGAGGCGGGACGCACACAACCTGGCAGCGCCACACTCGGTTCCGCCAGTAGAGCGTCGAGGGGTGGGGCTGCCGCAGGAGCCAGTAAGAAGTGCGAGACGGCCTGCCGCAGTGCTCGCCGGGAGCGCGAGACCGGTGTGTCTATTGGTGGGCTGGGAGGCAGGCGGCGGCCAGGACCAATGTGAGCTCGGGGCGGGCGTAGCGTCAGCGCCGCAGCGGCGGAGGGGCTGCGGGGCGCGCGGGCCGTTGTCATGCTGCTCTTCTGCCCGGGCTGCGGGAATGGGCTCATCGTGGAGGAGGGGCAGCGCTGCCACCGTTTCGCCTGCAACACTTGCCCCTACGTGCACAACATCACCCGCAAGGTGGGTCCTGGAGCCGGCGTCGGGTGGGGCTCCTCCCACAGGGCCATCCCGTCCGCCCTCTCTCTCGGCCGCTTCGCGTCGTCTCTGCCTTCGAGTCCACCGAGAGTCCGGCCGTTTGTCCCTCCCAGTGCCGTCACCCTGGGTTACTGTCGTTACCTCTGCGTGGGCCCCCGGCTCACACGTGTGCCACGTTCGCTGTGGTCACAGCCGCGGCCAGAGAGGTCCCGTTAACGCCTAAGTCAGACCGAGTCCGTCCTGTGTTCAGAAACCCTTGGCGGTTCCCCAGCGCACTCAGAACGAACGCTGAGGTTCTCTCGGGGCCGACCAGGTGCCGACACCGAACCTCTCTCCCGAGACTTGCTTCTCTGATTTCACGTACTAAGGTGCTCCTTTTTCCCAGCAACACCAGCCTTTTGGAGGATCCCCCATCATGCACGTGGCACTGTTGCCAAGGCCTAAATTCCAATGGCGTGCCCTGTTCTGTGATAGAGCGTTGTTTTCATTTAGTAATCCTCCAGTCTGTTGAAGGAAGGAAGTCCAGGGTAAACACTTGAGGGCAGGTGTGGAAGTTCGGTGTTGGTACTGTTCACTGACTTGGAGAGTTTGAAGACTTGCTGTTCGTTGTTAGGTAACAAATCGGAAGTATCCAAAGCTGAAAGAAGTGGATGATGTGCTTGGTGGAGCAGCTGCCTGGGAGAACGTTGACTCTACTGCAGGTGAGAGAGAAAACCTTTTTTAGTGGATAAGTATGAGGCTGCTGACTGCCCCTCCACGTCAGAATCTGTGACTACTTATAGGAAAGGGGCTTCTAAAAATAGAAAGTTTGTTTGTTTTTTTAATAACTTATTTGTTGCACAGATAATATTGGCACCAGCCTTGGAGTCACACAGGCCTGAGTTCAAGTCTCAGGATGACTTCTTGTTTTATGACCTTGGGTCCTTTGACCTCTCCGGGGCTAATCCATACTCATAGGTAGATTGTAAGAACACAGAGTGAGTTAGACAGTGTTTGGCATATAACGGGCACTGAACATGTGGTAGCTATGATAGCAACAATGACAGGAGTAATAAAAATCTGTCTAAGGCCTGGCCGGTGTGGCTCAATGGATTGAGCATCATCCCATGGATTGAGAGGTCCCGGTTGGATTCCTGGTCAGGGCACATGGCCAGGTTTTGGCTTGATCCCCAGGAGGGGGCGTGCAGGAGGCAGCCAATGGATGTTTCTATCTTTCTCCCTTCCTCTCTCAAAAAAAAGCCAGTAAAAGTATTTTTTTTAAAAACCCGTCTAAAGAAAAAACATGGTCTTTTTGTTTTAATGCAGTTTTAAAAGTTAATACCAGAGAGCATTAAACTGCATTCGCAGTAAAGTAAATGTTTATTTCAAGTCTTGATTTATTTCTAATAGAGGTAGATGTGACCAAAGAAGTACAGAGAGCCCTAGACACAACCAGTGTTGAGAGAGGAAGAGTTAAGTCACGATTAGTACTGTCTCTTTCCCCTATAGATGAACATTCAAATCTGCTATGTTAAAAATTTAGCAATGGCAGACTTTGTCATTAAAGGATGAATTATGTACCAAATGTTCAAAATGTTGCTTGAGTGTGTTTGAAGGTGTTTTCATCAAGAGCAGGGTTAGTTTGTTGAGGTGAAATCACTTTGAAGGTAAATCTGTGCCTTGGTGCACTCTGAAAAGGTGCTGGGTGTGTGGCGAGATCTTGGTAAGAACAACCGGAGGTGCTCACTGCCGAAATGGATCCCTAAACAAGGCGAAGTGGGTTGGGCCTCCATTGGAACTTCTCTGGGAAGAGGAGAGGGCTTGTCTATTGCCCAGGTGATGGAGATGCAAGGTGTGGGCCCTGTGATTCACACAGCAGCCATAAGTCACCTTTTATGTTATATTTCCAACCAGTCTTCAACTAGATTTGTGAGGAAAAGTGGGACCCAGGGAGGGGAGGTGGAGTGTTTTCAAACTCTCCTGGATTCCCTCAGTGTAAGCATATTGGGAATGAGACCACTGTTTGTAGCCTTAAATCATGGTACAAGGGACACCAGATATGTGAGGAAGGTCTTCTCTGCCTTTTGCTTAATGCCTATTTCTAACAGGTATGTTGGTCACAAACATCGTTTTTTTCTGTGGGTCACTTGTTTATTTTTCTTGTTTCTAGAGCCATGTCCCAAATGTGAACATCCTCGTGCCTATTTCATGCAGCTTCAGACCCGCTCTGCAGACGAGCCAATGACTACCTTCTACAAGTGCTGCAATGCTCAGTGTGGACATCGCTGGAGGGACTAGGCCAGGCTGGCCCAGCCATGTCAGGGTCTGTCTGCGTTATTCTCCAGAGTGCATTCCCAGCTGGGATTGAGCACTGTGTCCTGAGGGTCTTCGCTGGTGTGGTGGAAAGCTTTTTAGGGCTGGTGGCTAGGGTGTCAGGAAATGGATAGCCCATCTGCCAATCAGTGGATGAAGTCACTAATGTCCAGGGAGATTTTATGTGAGTGGGGGAGGGTTATACACATCTTGTTACACTCTGTTTAAGGTCCTGTTCATTTATCTTTCACATTTGTTGGGTAATTGACATTCTTTTATCATCAACCAACACTCTTAAACATTCATATTGTTTGCACAACTAATAAAGTAAAACTTATTATCTTAGTACATTAGTTGTTCCTAATTTTTTTTTAGTTGTTCCTAAATATTTAACTGTTAATTGCAAACTTATTTAATCAAAATTTGTTCTGAATATTTAATTAAAATGAAAAGTTTAATATTTTCTCAGTGTTTTGTTTATTTAAAAAATTTTTTTTTTTTTTTATTTAGAGAGGGAGAGAGATAGAAACATCGATGAGAGAGAACATCGACTGGCCGCCTCCTGCATACCTTACACTGGGGATTGGGCCCATGACCTGGGCATGTGCCCTGACCAGGAATTGAACTGGTAACCTCTTGGTGCATGGGTGACACTCAACCACTGAGCCACACTGGCCAGGGCTCAGTGTTTCTTTTTTAATCCTCACCTGAGGATATTTTTACATTAATATTCATATAGAGCTAGAGGGAGGAAGAGAAAGAGATAGAAACATCGATGTGAGAGGGACACATCGACTGGTTGCCACCCACAAACCTGATCCGGGGTTGGGGATGAACTTCAACTGAGGTATGTGCCCTTGGCTGGAATTGAACCTGGGACTCTTTGGTCCCTGGGCAACACTCTTACCACTGAGCCATACTGGCCAGGGCAGGGCTCAGTGTTTGTTTGTTTGTTTTTTTTTTATCCTCACCCGAGGACATTTTTCCATTTTTTGTTCAGACAGAGCGGGAGGGAGAGAGTGGAAGAGAGAGAGGGAGAAACATCGATGTGAAGGGACACATTGAGTGGCTGCCACCCGCACGACCAACCAGGGCCGGGGACAAACTGCAACCGAGGTACGTGCCCTTAGCAGGAACCGAACCCTGGAGGGCTCAGTGTTTTAAATGACTTAAGAAGTAGATGTCAAACCACAAATCATGATTCCAAAATTAACTACTAGGGACTAAACTGGTTACACAGTTGCTAATAATTAGGATTTAAATTTTTTTTTTTATCCTCCCAGGGATATTTTTCCATTTTTTGTTCAGATAGAGTGGGAGGGAGGGAGAGGAAGAGAGAGAGAGAGAGACATCGACGTGAAAGGGACACATCGAGTGGCTACCACCCGCACGACCAACCAGGGCTGGGGACAAACTGCAACCGAGGTACGTGCCCTTAGCGGGAACTGAACCCGGGTCTCTCTGAACCACAGGCCGACGCTCTAACTGCTGAGCCAAACTGGGCAGGGTAGATTTAAATTTTTTTATTTCTATTCTTGCTTCTTAGGGTTATAATAAATTTATTAGATACTATGTTTTTATATTTTGTGAGTTCTTTCCAGTCTGAAAACAAAAAGGATACTTCAAAATACTTGGGGACAGCCCTGGCTGGTGTGGCTCAGTTGGTTGGGCATCACCCCATACACCAAAATGTAGAGGTAGTGCAGGAGGCAGCCAATCGATGTTCTGCCCTCACATCAATGTCTTTCCATCTCCCTCTCTCTAAAAATCAATACAAATATTTAAAAAAAATGAATCAAAACTAACAGGGGACAGGATCTGGGTTATTGATTGATTGCTTACTCAGGGCCTTGGACTTGATTGCTTTTCCAAACTTCTTAATAATGAAGTCTCACTTATGAAGTCATGAGGCTTAAATTTATGCCTTTGATAAAGATTTTTACTTTTTTGAGACTGGGTATTTTTTCCAGAAATGATTAATTTTTTTTTCCCTTTTGTAATTTATTTTTATTCTTACAAGTTATACCTGATAAAACTTTACAAAAATTACTCATGTGGCCCTGGTCAGTTTGGCTCAGGGGTTAGAGCGTCGGCCCGAGGACCAAAGAGTCATGGGTTCAATTTCAGCCAAGGGCATGTACCTCAATTACAGTTCGGTCCCTGTCCCTGGTCGGAGTCATGCAGGAAGCAATCAGTTGATGTGTCTCTTGTGCATCAATGTTTCTCTCTCTCTTCTCTCCCTCCCACTCTATCTGAAGATAAATGGAAAAATGTCCTCGGGTGAGGATTAAAAAAAAAAAATTACTTGTGAAATATTTCTCTTTAAGATTTTAAAAGTTAATCAAGTGCATACCACAATTGATTTTTGTTGTTTAAAAAGGGATTCCTGTCTGGCCAGTGTGGTTCAGTGGTTGAGCATCGACCCATACACCAAGAGGTCACCAGTTCAATTCCCAGTCATGGCACATGCCCAAGTTGTGGGCCCGATCCCCATGTGGGTGCATGCAGGAGGCGGCCAATTGATGTTCTCTCTCATCGATGTTCCTGTCTCTTTCTCCCTCTCACTTCCTCTCTCTCTAAAATCAATAAAGGCAAAACAAAAATCTCTTCTTTAAAGAATAAATACATAAGGGATTTCTCACGATTTTGGTATCGCACAAATTTAAGCTGAGCCTACACTCAGAAATAAGTTTAGAGAATGGTATTACAAAAGATTGGGCACAAAGGCCCTGGCCGAGTAGCTCAGCTGGTTAGAGCATGATCCCGATACTCCAAGATTGTGTGTTCAGTCCCTGGTCAGGGCACATTCAAGAATCAAGGAATGAATGCGTAAATACACGGGGAAACACATCAATGTTTCTCTTTCCCTTCCTCTTCATCTCTCTCAAATCAGTAAAAAAATATAAAAAGATTGGAAGTGAGTAACCACAACAAAACCCATGCGGGCTGCTGTACAGCAGTAGTAAATCAGGTGTTTTCACTGTCAAATCTTTAGTGCATTCAAGTTTAAAAACCAGTCCTGCAAAAAGATGAAGGCATTTTTGGAAAAAACAGCAATTTCAGCATGTATACTATGGCATTTAAAAAAAACCTCAATAGATAATTATTTCCTTGATTTGCTTTAATTACAGAACCTCTTTAACCCCCAAACCCTAACCCCATCACAAATAATCTGGTTTAATACAAGTTAAGTCTACAAATAAATTTGTTATTTCCCCTCAAAAAAAAAAAAGTAACTTTTCAAGAATTATTGTTTAAAAAACTCACCTAGAGAAATTATTATTTTTTTATCTTCACCTGAGGACATTTTTGCATTCATTTTCAGATAGAGCGGGAGGGAGAGAGGGAGAAAGAGAGAAACATCAATGTGAGAGAGAAACATCGAGTGGTTGCCACCCACACGACCCAACCAGGGCTGGGGACAAACTGCAACCGAGGTATGAGCCCTTAGCGGGAATGAACCTGGGCCTCTCTGGTCCGCGGGCCAACGCTTTAACCGCTGAGCCAAACCGGCCAGGGCAAAAGAAATTAAAGTATCAGTTATTTTACCCCTATAACAGATGATGCTCAAGTTTCAAGTATCAATGCCTGACACATCACCCTTTAGTTCTGTGAGCAGGTTGGCTTAGAGTCCTCTTAATCACTCCTTTCTTCTTGATAATGTCTGTACTCTGGCTTCAGCTCCCATGTGTGTGTTTTTTTTTTTTTAAATCTTTATTGTTAGATGTAAAATGTATTACAGATGTTCCACATTTTTCCCCCATTGACCCCCCTCCTCCCCACTCCCGTCCCCCTCCCACCTTTTCCCACACTATTGTCTGTGTCCATTGGTTATGCATATAAGTTCTTTGGTTTATTTCTCTCCCCCCCCCCACAACCCCTTTCCCTTTGAGGTTTGCCAGTCTAGCAATGAATTTGTACTTCTTAATCCCTTCACCTTTTTCACCCATTCCCCCAACCCCCCTCCCAAATGGCAACCAACAAAATGTTCTCTGTATCTATGAGAATGTTTCTGTTCTACCTGTTCATTTTGTTGTAGATTCCAATTTTTTTCTAAATTTTTTTTTTCAAATTATTATTATTATTTATTTATTTATTTATTTTTTTAATCCTCATCCGAGGACATTTTTCCATTTTTTGTACAGACAGAGTGGGAGGGAGAGAGAGGAAGAGAGAGAGAGGGAAACATCGATGTGAAAGGGACACATCGAGTGGCTGCCACCCGCACGACCAACCAGGGCCGGGGACAAACTGCAACCGAGGTACATGCCCTTAGCGGGAACCGAACCCGGGCCTCTCCGGACCGCAGGCGGACACTCTAACCGCTGAGCCAAACCGGCCAGGGCTCCATTGTTGATAGATATGTATTCATTGCCATTTTGTTTGTTCATATATTTTATCTTTTTCTTCAAAAAGAACCTTCGTCATTTCATATAATAACGGTTTGGTGGTGATGAACTCCTTTAACTTGTTCTTGTCTGGGAAACTCTTTATATGGCCATCGATTCTAAATGACAGCTTTGCAGGATAGAGTAATCTTGGTTGTGGGTTCTTGTTTTTCATCACTCTGAATATTTCTTGCCACTCCCTTCTGGCCTGCAAAGTTTCTTTTGAGAAATCAGCTGACAGCCTTATGGGAACTCCCTTGTAGGTAACTAGCTGCCTTTCTCTTGCTGCTTTTAAGATTCTCTCTTAGTCTTGAACCTTTTGCATTTTGATGATGATGTGTCTTGGTGTGGGCCTCTTGGGGTTCATCTTGTTTGGGACTCTCTCTGCTTCCTGGACTTTGTGTCTGTTTCCTTCACCAAGTTAGGAAAGTTTTCTGCCATTATTGTTTCAAACAGGTTTTCGATTTCTTGTTCTCGCTCTTCTCCTTCTGGCACCCCCAAGATGCGGATGTTGGTACGCTTGAAGTTGTCCCAGAGGCTCCTTACACTATCCTCATTTTTTTGGATTCTTTTTTCTTTTTGCTGTTCTGATTGGGCATTTTTTGCTTCCTTATATTCCAAATCGATGGTTTGCTCCTTGGATTTACATACTCTATTATTGAAGCTGTGTAAATTATTTCAGTTAATGCCTCCTTCAATTCTAACTGTGTATCCATGATTTCTGACTGGTCTTTTCTTATGCTCTTGAGGCCCTCACTAAGTTCACTGAGGTTCTCACTAAGTTCATTGAGCATCTTTATAAGCAGTATTTTGAACTCAGTATCTGTTAGGTTGCTTATCTCCATTTCGCTGAGTTCTTTTCTTGGGGTTTTGTTCTGTTCTTTCATTTGGGACCTGTTTCTTTGTCTCCTCATTTTGGCTGCCCCCTTGTGTTTGTTTCAGTGTATTACTTAATGAGAGGTATGGGGCTCGCTGAGACCAGATGCTGCTCGTTTGAAAGAATTTAGGAAAACCTGAAGCAGGATCCAAGACAGGCCAATCCTATGGTTAAGCAAGTGGCAACAGGTTGGGTGGGCCTGAAAGTTGGGCGGGGCGGGGCGGGGCCTCAGTGAATCAGCAGGGCGGGGCTACCAGTGTGAGCCAGGTTGCTGGAGTCCCAGATATGGTGACTGTCTGCCACCCCAGGGAAGGGCTCACCAAAGGAACAAAGGCCTCTGACAGCACGTTTGTCCCGGAGAAAGCTCCCTCTCCAGCCCTCGCTCCAGTGACAAACAGCTCAGTTCTTCCCTGTTTGTCTCTGGCGCCCCTCGAGCTGCCTCCCCTCCAAGCTTAGAGGGAGAGAGTCCCATAAGTCCATGTGCGGGCCCTTTAAGGAGCTGCCTGGGGCTCCAGCCGCCTCAGCCTCCCTGAGCCTCCGTTCCTGCTGGTTTTTCCAGCCAGAAGTGATGGGGATTCTCTTCCTGGCACTGGAACCCTGAGTGGGGCACCTGGTGTGGGACAGGGACCCCTCAGTCCTCAGGAAGGACCTTCCCGGCCGAGGTGTTCTCCTGATTTTATCCGCCACACGTGGGTGTGGGACCAGCCTGTTACACCACCGCCCCTCCTACCAGTCTCCATGTGGCTGCTGCTTTAATTCCGTAGTTGTAGGACTTCTATTCAGCTGGATTTCAGGCGGTTTTGAATGGTGGTTGTTCTGTAGTTTAGTTGTAACTTTTTTTTTTTTTATCCTCACCCGAGGACATTTTTCCATTTTTTGTACAGATAGAGTGGGAGGGAGAGAGAGGAAGAGAGAGAGAAACATCGACGTGAAAGGGACACATCGAGTGGCTGCCACCCGCGCGACCAACCAGGGCCGGGGACAAACTGCAACCGAGGTATGTGCCCTTAGCGGGAACCGAACCCGGGTCTCTCCAGACCACAGGCCGACGCTCTAACCGCTGAGCCAAACCGGTCAGGGCTTAGTTGTAACTTTGATGTGGTTGTGGGAGGACGTGATACCGCAGCTTGAAAGGCACCTGAGATGTGCAGGGAAGAACTGAGTTGTTTGGCCTCGAGATGAGGGCTGGAGAGGCAGCTTTCTCTCGGACAGATGCGATGGCGGAAGCATTTGTTCCTTTGGTGAGCCCTTCCCCAGGGCTGCAGACAGCCAGCTACTATTGCTTTTTCTTTCTGTCTTTTTTTTTTTTTTTTTATCCTCACCCGATCACATTTTTCCACTTTTTGTTCAGATAGAGTGGGAGGGAGAGAGAGGGGGAGAGAGAGAGAGAGAGAGAGAGAAACATCGACGTGAAAGGGACACATCGAGTGGCTGCCACCCGCACAACCCAACCAGGGCCGGGGACAAACTGCAACCGAGGTACATGCCCTTAGCGGGAACCAAACCCGGGTCTCTCTGGACCGCAGGCCGACGCTCTAACTGCTGAGCCAAGCCTACCAGGGCCTATTGCTTTTACTTTAACAACATAATCTCCAAAGAGAATCCACATAGATGCAATCAGAGAGCCAAAGACCAACATGAAACCAATGAACAGTTCCCTGGCTGGTGTGGCTCGGTTAAGTGTCGTCCCATGCACAAGAGGTCACAGTTCGGTTCCCAGTCAGGGCACATGCCTGGGTTTCAGGCTCGATCCCCAGTAGTGGGTGTGCAGGAGGCAGCTGATAGATGTTTCTCACATTGATGTTTCTTTCCCTCTCTAAAATTAATAAAAAACATTAAAAAAAAATCACACCAAAAACCAATGAACAGCCAAATATGAGCTCCTGCTTGACCCAGGAAACCTGCATTGTAACCATCACCTGGACTATCTATTCGATGCTGCATTAATCATCAAGAAGGCGGTGGTTGCTGTAACACCACATGCATGGTGTGCATGGTTGAACTCTTCATAGTGGGGTAAATGACAGCTGCGTCTATGATAATCCACCAACCCATAAAAAATAGAACACCAGTAGCAATGAGAGCAATAGCATTGCATTTCCCACCCCAGTCACTGCATTCTGAGCATCTCAAGCCTTCTGAAAATCCAGACTTCTTCAATTTGGTCCAACCCTGCCATACAAGCTCTCTGGAGCCCCATGTCTTGGTGGGTGGGGGTGCCTCACTTCCCCACTAGCAGTCCAGAAATGATTAACCTTTAAGTTTCACACGCTTGTTTTCTTACTGTTGTGGTATGTTGACCAGGTTCTGAGCCCATTATCTGTAATTGGTTCTATTTCAAAACTGTTTGGTTTTACAAACATGATTTCATCGTGGGCTGTGGGACCGTCTGTGGACGCCACTAGTGTTATCGCCTCAGGTCCAGCTCTGTTTGCGTTGGTTAGAGGCAGCGTGGATCTGTGGGGAGATCATCCCTCTGCAGTTAGCCTGCCTGTCTGCGCCCCAGGGATGAGACTCAGTCAAGTTGCTGACCTCTGCTTTCATTTCCTTGTGTGTAAAATGAAGATAACAGTCAACTTCAGGCGTTTACATATGTTTTCTGTAAAGGGCCAGATAGTAAATATTTTACACTTTGTGGGTCAAAAGTCAAAATCTAGGAAAACAGAAGAAAACAATTTCCACAATTTTTTTTAGCCTCACCTGAGGGCATTTTGGCATTTATCTTCAGATAGAGCAGGAGGGAGAGAGTGAGGAAGAGAGAGAGAGAAACATTGATGTGAGAGAGAAACATCGAGTGGTTGCCACCCACACGACCCCAACCGGGGCCAGAGACAAACTGCAACTGAGGTACGTGCCCTTATTGGGAACCAAACCCGGGACTCTCTGGTCCACGGGCCAACGCGCTAACCGCTGAGCCAAACTGGCCAGGGCGTCTTCCACAGTTTTGTACAGGCAAAATTCAAACTGTAATCATAGTAATTGAATGCATTACTTTTTAAATTAATTAATTGATTTTTTAATTTATTAATTTGTTTTTGTTACAGATATTTCTCATTTTTTCCCCATTGAGGTCTATTGATGAAAACAATGGATATCATTCTGCTTAACTGGGGTTTAAAGTTAGTAGTGTTCTCTGTCATCAAAGCTGAATGCGAATGTACATCTGTTGGTGCTAGTTAAGTGCATGGAATTCATAGTTGACATTCAGTACTGATGAGAGATGCAAATATTTCCTCAAAGTATTTGCTGATGAATAATGCAGTGAAAAACCTTAGGCTTTAAACACTGTCTTTGTACAAGCTTTGTAAATGTGTCCACCTCAGCTTTTTCCTGTTCCGTGTGTATTCTTACCACCACCAATGATAACACACATTAGCAGGTTCTACTTCAAGTTCTACTGAATTAATGTTTTCTTGACTTTGAAAATATTCTTGCCTGCAGTTGTTGTGACTGTGCACAGAGGCTAATTCTTCAGCCACTTCCCCACTCAGGGTTCAGGTGTTGACTCCTTGAAGAAACTACCAGTAGCAATTTCACTAGTATCTGTGAATTCAGCAAGAGCCAAGGAAACTGATTCAAAGTATTCACCTCTGTTGTTATTGTTGTTGTTAATCTTCACCCAAGGATATTTTTTTTAGAGTGAAAGTGGGGATGGGGGAAGAGAGACATTGATGTGAGAGAGACACATCAATTGGTTGCCTCCTGCACTCGCCCCTACCAGGGCCAGGGACTGAACCTGCAACCCAGGCACATGCCCTTAACCGGGAATCGAACCTCGACCCTTCGGTCCACAGGCCGACGCTCTAACCACTGAACCACACCGACTAGGGCATTCGCCTCATTTTTTTTTTTTTTTATCCTCACCCAAGGACACTTTTTCATTCTTTGTTCAGATAGAGCAGGAGGGAGAGAGAGAGAGAGAAACATCGATGTGAAAGGGACACATCGAGTGGCTGCCACCCGCACGACCAACCAGGGCCGGGGACAAACTGCAACCGAGGTACATGCCGTTAGCGGGAACCGAACCCGGGTCTCTCCAGACCGCAGGCCGACACTCTAACCGCTGAGCCAAACCGGCCAGGGCATCGCCTCATTTTTAATAGACTATTAATGTTGCTGTCAGTGACCTCAAGTTTTAAGACAACTGTTTTCACCCAAAGGCTGCTCATCTTAATTTTATTTTCTCAGGACACACTTCTTCAGCTGCTGCAATAAAGCATGACTAAATCACCACATGTAAGTAGCTTTCCTTGCTTGGTGAACACCAAATGAGCCACTTGGAAATTTAATTTGGTTGCCTCATTTTTACTTTTAATTTTTGTGAAGGAACTTGTTATGTCACTGGTTCGATTCCCCTTCAGGGCACATGCCCAGGTTGTGGGCTTGATCCCCAGTGCAGGGCATGCAGGAGGTGGCCTATCAGTGTTCTCTCTCATCGATGTTTCTATCTTTTTCTCCCTCTCACTTCCTCTCTCTCTAAAATCAATAAAGAAAAAATATTTAAAAAAAAAGAGAGAGAGAGAGAGTGCCAGTAATGGGTGCCTAGTCTGGTACTGTCAACCAGCTGCAGTGTCACTGCACAATAAACACAACCCTTGGCCATCCAATTCGATGACAGAATAATCCATTCTCCACTGTGCCTTAAAAATGGAACATTTATAGTCCACTTAAAAATTGTTTTAATTTTTATAAATTGAGGTAACATTGCTAATGTCATTAGATATACGTTTTAGGTGTACAACATTATTATTGGATACCTGTATACTCTACTGAGTGCTGCCACCCAAAGTCTAATTCCCATGCATCACCATATATTTGACCTGTTACCCATTTTGCCTCCCCCACCCCATTTCTCCTCTAGTAACCACCATTCCGTCCTCTGTATCTATGAGTTTGTTTTGTTTTGTTCATTCACTTGCGAGTTTTTTGTTTTATATTCTGCATATGATTAAAATCATATGTTTTTTGTCCTTTTCTGTCTGACTTATTTCACTTAGCATAATACCCTTTAGATGTATTCATGTTGTCACAAATGGTAAGATTTCATTGTTTTTCATGGCCGAATAATATTCCATTGTATATATGTACCAGAATGTTATCCGCCCATCTTCTGATGGACACTTAGGTTGTTTCCATATCTTGGCTTTTGTAACGAATGCTGCAATAAACAGGGGTGCATATCTCTTTTCAAATTAGTGTTTTCATATTCTTTAGAGAAATACCCAGAAGAGGAATTGCTGGATCACCTGGTAGCTCTTTTCTTAATTTTCTGAGGAGCTTTGGTACTGTTTTTCATAGTGGCTGTACCAATTTACAATTCCACCGACAGTGCATGAGGTCCCCTTTTCTCTACATCCTCGCCAACACTTACTTCTTGTCTTTTTGATAATAGCCATTCTGACAGGTGTAAGGTGACAGCTCATTGTGGTTTTGATTTGCATTTCCCTGATAATTAGTGATGTTCAGAGTTCACTTCTCATTTATTTATTTAAATTTTGAAATCCTCACCCGAGGATATGGTTAGAGAGAGGAGGTGGGGGAGGGAGAAACATCAATGTGAGAGAGAAACATTGATCAGCTGCCTCTTGCACTGCACATACCCCAACTGGGGATCGAACCCGAGACCCAGGCATGTGCCCTGACTGCGAATCAAACTCAAACCTTTTGATATACGGGACGATACTCCAACCAACTGAACCACCTGGCCAGGGCTAGAGTTCACTTTTCTTGTTTTGACATGACAGGTTTGCACAGGTAATAAGCAAAAAAAAAAAAAAAAAGTTAGAGTACAACTGTAGTGGCGCTTGAGATGCTGGGTGGTGAGCACACCACTGAGTTGTGAGTGTGCAGAGTGGCCCGTGCAGTGCTGTTGCCACCGCTCAGCTCTGCACGACAGTGTGAAGGCAGCTGTGGGCAGCACAAATAAATGAATGTGGGTATAGTTCCGTAATTTGAACTTTATAATGCTTTCATGTGTTATGTACTTTCTAAAGCAAGTTCCCCCCAACCATTAAAAAATGCCTAAGCTATTTTTAGCTCATAGGTTTTTGTAAAAAAGGGTGTGTGTTAGATTTTGCCTGCGGGCGGTAGTACGCTAACACCTGGTGTACCTCACAGGGTTGTGAGACTTTACGTTGCTTAGCACGCATATATCCTTGCAACAGGTCTGACTGATAGCGTTTGGTGCCTTTTTCTCATGGAGGTGAATTTTCACAGGTATTTGGTGACTCCTGGATGTGTGTTCTTTGTGTTCTCCCTCTGTCTATGGATGTTACTTTTCTATTTATCTCTATTCATTCTGGCAGTGTGGTGGGGTGTCCGACTATGCCATCAATGCATTTTCCTGGCACAAGTGCAGGTGGCCTGCTCTGCTGGTCCACACTTTGGACTCTTACTAATCCTGGTGGCTGTCCAGGACTACCTGGCTCCCTTTCATTGCCCAGGAAGGGCACTATGCCTGCTTTCTCAGATGTCCTCTCCTGTGTGGTTTTTAGGATGTGATTTCCTGGGTCAATCCACTCAAATCTCAGTTGCCTCCTTTCATTCAGAGATTCCTTCTGGTTGGTGCTCCATCTTGTTTTCTGCACTGTTATGATACATGCCTTTACTTAAAAAAAAATTTTTTTTTAATTTTTAATTTTTTTTTGTTACAGATGTTTCTCCTTTTTCACTCCATTAGCACCCCCCCTCCCCATCTCCCTACCCCATCCCCGGCTTTGTTGTCATGTCCATTGGTCATGCATACATGCATGTAAGTTCTGTGGTTTATCTCTTCTTACTCCCCCACCCCCTCTTCTGAGGGTTGTCAGTCTGTGCCCTACTTCCATGTTTCTGGGTCTACCGTATTCCTCAGACTATGTTCATTATATTCTGTATATAAGTGAGATCATGTGGTATTTGTCTTTTTCTGCTTGGCTTGTTTCACTTAGGATAATACTTTCCAGGTCCCTCCATGTCGTCTCAAGGGATAAGAGATCTTTCTTTCTTACAGCTGCATTGTACTCCATTGTGGATATGTACCACTGCTTTTTTATCCATTCGTCTACTGATGAACACTTGGGCTGTTTCCAGATCTCAGCTATTGTAAATAGTGCTGTTATGAACATGGGGGTACATATATTCTTTCTGGTTGGTGTTTCAGGCTTCTTAGGGTATATTCCTAGAAGCAGGATCACTGGGTCAAATGGAAGTTCAATTTTTAATTTTTTGAGGTAACACCATATTGTTTTCCATAGTGGCTGCACCAGTCTGCATTCCCACGAGCAGTGTACTAGAGTCCCCTTTTCTCCACACCCTCCCCAACACTTGTTTGATGATTTGTTGATGGCGGCCATTCTGACAGGTGTGAGGTGATACCTCATTGTTGTTTTAATTTGCATCTCTCTGATGATTAGTGATGTTGAGCATTTCTTCATATGTCTCTTGGCCATTTGTATGTCCTGTTTGGAGAGGTGTCTATTCAGCTCCTCTGCCCATTTTTTTTAATTGGGTTCTTTGTCTTCCTTTTGTTGAGTTGTATGAGTACTCTATATATTTTGGAAATTAACCCCTTATCTGATGTATCATTGGCAATGATGTTCTCCCATACAGTGGGTTGCCTTTCCATTTTGATGGTTGTTTCTTTTGCTGTGCAGAAGCTTTTGAGTTTGATGTAGTCCCATGTGTTCATTTTTTGTTTTATGCCATTGTGATCTGAGAAGATGCTTGATATGATTTCAATAGTTTTGAACTTGTAGAGATTTAGTTTGTGTCCTATCATGTGGTCTATCTTTGAGAATGTCCCATGTGCACTTGAGAAGAATGTGAATTCTGTAGTTTTGGGGTGTAAGTCTCTGTAGATATCTATTAAATCCATTTGGTCTAGTGCTTCATTTAGAGTCTCTGTTTCCTTGCTAATTTTTTGTCTAGAGGATCTATCCAGTGGTGTCAACGGGGTGTTGAAGTCCCCTGCTATCATTATATTGCTGTCGATTTCTCCTTGGAAGTCCTCCAGAAGATTTTTAATATATTTTGGTGCTCCTATATTGAGTGCATATATGTTTATCAAGGTTATATCTTCCTGTTGGATAGATTCTTTCATATTATGTAGTGGCCTTCTTTGTCTCTAGTATGGCCTTCATTTTGAAATCTATTTTATCAGATATGAGTATTGCTACTCCAGCTTTTTTTTGCTTTCTGTTTGCTTGGAAAATTTTTTTCCATCCCTTCACTTTCAACCTATGTGGTGTCTTTTGTTGTGAGGTGGGTCTCTTGTAAACAACATATATATGAGTCATGTTTTCTTATCCAGTCAGCTACTCTGTGTCTTTTTATCAGAGCATTCAGTCCATTTACATTTAAGGTGATTATTGATATGTACTTGTTTATTGCCATTTTTGTTTAGTGTGGTTCTATTTTTCTTCCTATTTCTTCTACTAATTACAACAGTCCTTTTAACATTTCTTGCAGTGCTGGTTTGGTGCTAATGTATTCCCTTAGCCTTTTTTTTTTTTTTTTTTTTGTCTGGAAAGCTCTTTATTTGACCTTCTATTTTGAATAATAGCCTTGCTGGGTAGAGTAGTCTTGGATTCAGATCCTTGTTGTTCATGACCTTGATTACTTCATGCCATTCTCTTCTGGCCTGTAGTGTTTCTTGTGAGAAGTCAGCTGATAGCCTTATGGGGTTTCCTTTGTAGGTAACCTGTTGCTTATCTCTTGCTGCTTTTAGGATTCTCTCTTTGTCTTTAATTTTTGGTATTTTAATTACTATGTGTCTTGGTGTGGGCCTGTTTGGGTTCTTCTTACTTGGGGCTCTTTGTGCTTCTTGAACTTGAATGCCTCTTCCTTCACCAAATTAGGGAAGTTTTCTGTCACTATTTCTTCAAATATATTCTCTAACCCTTGCTCATTTTCTTCTTCTTCGGGGACTTCTATGATGCGAATATTATTACGTTTCCAGTTGTCCCACAGTTCTCTTAAGCTGTCTTCCTGTTTTTTAATCGTTTTTTCCTTTTGGTTTTCTGATTGGTTGATTTTTTTCTACCCTGTTTTCTAATTTACTGATCCGGTCCTCAGCTTCTTCTACTCTGCTTTTTAGACCTTCCAATGTGTTCTTCATGTCTGATATGTCATTTTTGATTTCTTCTTGATGGTTTTTAATTTCCAATTGGGTTATTTTCAGCATCTCTATGTGCTTACTCATGCTATTGAGCTTCCTCAAGATCATGGCTCTGAATTCTAGCTCTGTTAACTTGCCTAACTGCTCCACATTGATCTCATCTTCGGTGGAGGTCTCTTGTTCTTTCATTTGGCTTCTGTTTCTGTGTTTCACCATTTTGGCTATCACTGTGGGCTTTGGAGCCTGTCAAGTTCTCCCTGTGGGTGTTGGTGTTCTGCTGTTTGTGGCTCCCTCTCCTGGGTTTAGATGAGCGAGGGAGGACCCACATTAAACACCACTGTCAAGTCTTACTTTCCTGGTTAGAGTTGTTAGCCCAGGAAAGGTACTGTTATCCTCTAGCTTTTTGCCTGGAGGCTAGCAGTTGAGGTTACTTGGAGAGTTTTGGGTTGTCAGTTGATTGAAAAACTCCCTCAGGTGCTCAGCATAAGGGGCTTTCCCGAGGGTGGGGCAGATGCTGGTTGTTAATGAGCCTCAGTTAGCACTTCAATGGCCCACAGGGTGGGGTTGGATCTCCGAGGGAGGGGCTGCTGCCTCTCCTCAGAGCCCTGGGAAGGAGCAAGATGCCCACCATCCTGCGTGGCTGCCACTCAGCAAAAGCTCTGAGTGCCCTCCAGATCCCGAGTGTCCCGACACAGTTCCAGTCCAGTCCGCCCTCCCTCTGCCGGAGCCCAAGGTGAGTGGCTGTGGCTGTTTCAGCCTCTGTCCCGGCTGCGCTGTGGGGCCGCCTGGGAGTGTGACCCGAGGGCGCTGCTCCCAGCTGAGGCCGCTGCCGAGCTGCCGACCGTGGGCTCCCAGCCCCGTCTCGCGCCTTCGCAAGCCTACCGGGATGGAGTCGGTGTCCCTCGTTGTATGGTCCTCGCAGGCTGCTTTTCTGTTGCTTTTTCCGGTCGATTTGTCTGTGTTATAGTTGTAATTCCAGTTTGGTTCTGGGAGACGGTCTGTGTAGCTCCGTTCACTCCGCCGCCATTTTCCCATCTAAATTTTTTTTTAAATAGCTCTCTACCCCACACATTGTTTCACTTAACTTTTTATTTTTTAAAGTTTTTTATCTTCACCCGAGGACATTTTTGCATTTATCTTCAAATGGAGCGGGAGGGAGAGATGGGGGTGTGTGTGTGGAGAAACACCGACGTGAGAAAGACACATCGAGTGGCTGCCACCCGCACGACCAACCAGGGCCGGGGACAAACTGCAACCGAGGCACGTGCCCTTAGCGGGAACCGAACCTGGGACTCTCTGGTCCGCAGGCCGATGCTCTAACCACGGAGCCAAACTGGCCAGGGCGCCTTTTCTTTAAGATACTGTATTTTTCCCTTTTCTTTTGGCTATTTTTTTCTGTTTCTATTTCTCTGAGATTTCCTGTTCATACATTAGGGGCATTTTTTTTTTTTTTAATATATCTTTGAGGATAGAGTAGTTGCTTTAAAACCTGTGCTAGTTCTAACAACTTAGTCTTGGGAATCTGTCCATCGTTTGTCATTTCTCTTGTATGGGTCACAGTTCTGTTTCGTCATATATTTAATAATTTTTTATTTATTTGGAAATTGTGAATGATATCCATTGTAGAGAGTATGTATTCTGTTATATTTCTCTGAAGAGTTTTTTTTTTCTTTTTAAACAGACTATAAGCTCTGTGTCTCTGATGTGGGCAGCAGCTAAAATCTCTGTTCAGGTTGTTTGACCTTTGCTCAGCTGCTTGGAGTTGGCCTGTACACATGTAGTTCAGGGATCGTCCAGAGATTTTGGTAGAGTTTAGATGTAAAATCTGGGGGTCTCTTCTCTGGATTTTTTCTCCCATGATTTCCTCCCTTTCTAGCCTTTGTGATCTCCACTTGTGGGATCATGGTGTAGGTGGGGGGGCCTGCTGGTTTTAAGTTAGTAAATTCTACCTTCAGCCAGGTGGGAAGGAGACCCCAAGAGAGAGAAGGAAGCTCTCTTGATAAAGATACTAGTGAAGGGATGGCTCCAGTGAGTATAAAAGTATGTCTGTGTAATAGGTAAGATGGGGGCCAAGCTGACTGAGATTTAAATATTAGTGTCCTGGCCGGGTAGCTCAGTTGGTTAGAGTGTCATCCCAATACGCCAAGGCTGTGGATTCGATCTGCAGTCAGGGCACATACAAGAATCAACCAATGTTGGCTGGTGTGGCTCAGTGGATTGAACGTCATCCCATGGACTGAGAGGTCCCGGTTTGATTCCTGGTCATGGCACATGCTCTGGTTTTGGGCTCCATCCCCATTAGGGGGCGAGCAGGAGGAAGCAATTGATGTTTCTCACATCAATGTTTCCATCTCTCTCTTCCTTCATCTCTCTCTAAAAAAATCAATAAAAACATATATATTAGCCCTGGCCAATTTGGCTCAGTGGTTAAAGCGTTGGCCTGTGGACCGGAGAGGCCCGGGTTCGGTTCCGGCTAGGGGCATGTACCTCGGTTGCATTTTGCCCCTAGCCCCGGTTGGGGTTGTGTGGGTGGCAGCCACTCTATGTGTCTCTCTCACATCGATGTTTCTCTCTCTCACTCTTCCTCCCTCTCTCCTTCCGGCTCTATCTGAAGATAAATGCAAAAAAAAAAAAAAAAAAAAAAAAAAAAAAGTCCTTGGGTGAGGATAAAAAACAAAAACAAAAACAAAACATATATATTAAAAAACAACAACAAATCAACCAATGAGTGTATAAATAAGTGGAACAACAAATTCTCTCTCTCTCCCTTCTTCTCTCTCTAAAAATCAATAAATACAAATAAAAAAAGAAATGTAAATATTAGAAAGAAGTGTGATTATGTCCCTGGTCATTTGTAAGGTATTTCCTGAGCTTGAGCCTTTGATTGCTTCTATCTGTGGGTCCTGTGTCCTCAGACGGCAGAGCGCGGCAGCTCTGAAGCATCCAAGCCTTGCCCAGGACACCCTGATGCACAGAACACACATGTGCGCACACACGTGCACCCAGCCACTCTCACGGAGAAATGCAGCCACATGCACACACTGAGTGTGACCTATTTGGTACTGAAAAGAAAAGACAGCCAGTAAGTATATGAAAAGATGCTTATCTTCACTAATAACCAAGTGCAGAAAAAAACATTGAAGTATCTTTGCTTATCAGATTGGCAAAGGTTAAAAAGACTGATAATGTGTACTGATGGTGTGGGTTACAGGCTTTCTCACACTTCTGGTGGGAGTAGAAGTTGGTACATATTTAAAGGGCCATTTGGCAGTATCTATCAATTTTTAAAAAAACATTGATGTGTTTAATTGTTTATTATTATAAAACATTGATTTGAGCCCTGGCCGGTTGGGCTCAGCGCTCAGAGCGTCGGCCCTGCGGACCAATGAGTCACAGGTTCAGTTCCGGCCAAGGGCACGTACCTCGGTTGCAGTTCGGTCCTGGCCCTGGTCGGGGGTGTGCGGGAGGCAACCAATTGATGTGTCCCTCTCACATCGATGTTTCTTTCTCTCTCTCTCTTTCCCCTTCTCACTCTGTCTAAAGATAAAAGGAAAAATATCCTCGGGAGAGGATTAAAAAAAAAAAAAGTGCATTTGAGTTTAGAAATGTCTTGAGGGACTTGTGCCTACCTTCTCACAGGGGCTCCCTTAGGCTGAGATCAAAGGCACCTCCGATTTTTCTGTTTCCTTCTGCACTGTTTGTCTTTACCTGACACTGCATTATCTTATGTTTAGCGCCCTCTCCATCCCCATTGCTCCCAGACTACCACAGCTGGAGAGAGTCGCGCCTCTGGTCTCAGAAGCGCCTAGAAGGGGAGGAGGCCTGCTGCCCTGTCCTGGCCACGGTCTCGCTCCTGGGACTACTTTAGTGTGTCGCAGTGGTGTTCCTTGGGAGGGATACAGCACACGCTCATCCTCCCGTCGTGGATTAGTGGCCAGGGTCCACCTTTGGCATCTGCCCTATCACGGGAATGAGAGTTGCCCCACCTCGTGATTCCCAGGTTCACGGCGAGTGCTGACTGTCACCTCTCCACCCTGCTGGGACAGCTGCTGCTCTGCACTCGCTGGCTGGCTGGCTGGTGGTTTTAGATGTGGGCGGCCTGTGTCAGCCTGCCCTGCGGGCTGACGTCACCGGTTGGTGCACTTATCTCCTGAATCAGGCTGAGGGGCTTTGCCGTGCACAGGGGCCTTCCTGGCCGTGGGACCCGAGGCTGCGCCTGGGAAGGTGAGTCTGAAACTGGATCGTCCTCACCACTCACGTCGGTGTGAACTTGGGAGGCAGAGCGGGCCAGGCAGCCGCCTTCCCTGGCCCAGGAAGCACTGTGGGTGAGCCCTGGAAGTGGGGTGTCTGGGAGCACCACCCTAGTGTGACCTCCTCTGGTGCCCAGGGCCGGGCACCTCCCAGAGACAGCAGAGCGCAGCGCTGACCGCGGGATGGCGGACCAGCACTTCCAGGCCTGAGAGCGGTGAGTCCCCCGAGGGAATGCATGTTGTCAGGTGGTTTCTACTTATGGAAGAGGCTTTGCTTCCTTGATGACAAGCTGACCTTTGGGGGGACCAGTGAGTGCCAGTGGGCATTCTAGGGCCAGATGGTCCCAGAGGGGACACCACATTGGAGATGAGGTCCAGGCGCTGGGGTTGGTAGTTTCTCCAAATCCCCATGCCTTTGGGGGCTTTAGGGCAGAAGAGGAAGTGGGTGTCTGGGGATACCCCTGGGAGCTGTGGGTGGGGCAGCCGGTGAGGGTGGACCCCAGAAGGAGGGCCAGTTCAGCTAAGCAGAGGAAGGGCAGGAGAGGGTTCCTGCTCAGGTAACGTCCCAGAGCGCCCTTCTCAGGTGCTCAAGGCGTTAGCACTGCCTAGAAGCAAGGGCAGCTTCTGCAGGGGTCTCAGGATGCATTTCTTAAGCACTTAGGATGGGTGCAGGGGGCACAACATAAACCAGATGGCCTGGCCCTGGAGGAGCCTGATGCAGGGAGGCTGGAGAAGGGTGCTGGCAGAGGAGGGGTGTTATGTCTCCCTGTTTAACCTCCAAGCCCCCAAAGAGAACTGGGGCAACACCCTTATTCTAGCCCTTACCCTAGCTACCCCCTGCCTCCCTGCTCCTGCTGTGTCTGGCTGGGGAGACAGATGGGGGTCCTCAGGGAGAGGCATGCTGTGGGGAGGGAAGCCAGGCAGAGGGGACCGTGTGAGGAGGCTGGGAGGTAATTTGGGGAGCTCAGGGCTGTGTTGTAGAGCAGACCCCCCACCCCGGGACCCAAGTGGGCTCCCTGGGCTCTGCTGTCCCTCTCTGATGTCCATCTCAGCCCTCTCCCTCCCCTGCCCTGAGTCCGTCCCTCCGTGTGTGCCCTTGTCCACCTGCTCAAGGCCCCTCGGGGTGCAGGCCTTATCGCTCCCACAGCTCCAGCCCGTGTGTCCCTGTTTCCCAGACGTGTGCCCCCACCCCGGGAACAGCCCCTCCTGCTCACTGTAGGCGGTGGGAAGTGCTCCTTGCGGCTACCCTCCTGTTCCTCCAGTCCTCTCTGCCCCTCTCTGGACTCACCCAGCTGCCTTGGTCCCTGCTCCCCATCCTTCCCCACCCGCTGTGCACCCCCAGAGGAAGCACAGCGTCCAGCAGCATCGGGTCGTTGGTGCTGGGGTGACCCACGGGGAGTAGGCTTCTGCTCCCATTTTTGGCCCCATTTCCTAGCATAGTCCCCATGTCCCTGAGGTTCCAGCTGTTTCTGAGGAGCCAGGGTCCAAATGTACTCCTCCTCCCAGGCAGAGGGGACAGGAGGTACCATGTGCCCATTCAATGCGCACCTCCGTCCCACCCCCTCTGTGCCTGCCGGCTCCTCGGGTGGGCGGGGAGAGTAACGGGCAATATCACTCCCTCCCCACGAAAAATATAAAGTAGACTCTGTAAAAGGGGCAGTCAGGGGACGCAGTGCCTGGTGTGCAGCCCACTCTGGAGGGCGTGCGGGAAGGCACAGGACCCCGCAGTGCCCCGCCAGCCCCCAGGACAGGCCTGCCTGCTCTGGCCTGGAATCCCACCCGGTGTCAGGTGAGTGCTCAGGGTGTGAGGGCCAGGGAGGTGAGGGTCCGAGTCTGTCTGGAGACCTGCCCCTGGTCTGGTAGTGTCTGCGGGTCCTGAGGCAGGGAGCCAGCTGCAAGGCAGCCACGACTTTGGGATGGGCCAGGGGACCATGGCCGGCAAGCTGACCTTGACCCGGAGGCTATAGAGGAGATGGGGTTCCCCGGGGGCGGTGCAGTGAGGGTAGCGGTGCCAGCCGGGCTCCCCTGCATGACTAGAGTGTTAGGGGGCAGCTCTCTCCAAGGGAGCGGACGCCGGCCTCTGCTGCCCTCACAGCCACCCCGAGACTTGTCTGAGCTGCAATCAGGCCTCCCTGGTGTCATCCCAGTGCCTCCTGGGGACCCAGAGCGTGCAGGCGGGGCTCTGTGCACCCTGGCCCAGGGCCTGTTGTCAGGGATGGGGCGGCCCATCCCTCCTCTTGCCTGAGGAGCCCCGCGAACAGAGGCCAGTGATACCCTGGGGGAGCCAGGTGGCTCGCAGGCTTGTGTGGGAGCTAAGAACACAGGTGGCAGGTGCCAAGCACTGGGCAAGTTCCTGGTTTCTCTGGGCCTCAGTTTCCTCATCTGTAGGGGCGGTGGTGGCCCCACCCCACCCAGCTCTCTAGGTATAGCCAGAGGTGTTCTCGGCCCAACTCTTCACTGCTCCCCAAGGGCGGTCCTGCCCCTGGGGCCTGCTGAGCTCGGGGCCACCCCACAACATGCCCTTGAGCCCCCTGCTCCTGGGTCGGCCTGTGGCTGGGCTGGCCTGAGTCAGCACAGAGCATGTGTTCCTCCACCCGGGGCCTGGGCTGCCGCAGGCCGGCGCTCACTCCGATCCCGGCTTCACACGCCTGAGAGTGCGCTGTGGTCGGGCTGCTCCCCGGCTCCATCCAGCAGCTGCTGCAGGACTCGGCTGTGGCTTGCGGTGCCAGGTGACGCTTCATTCTAGGGAAGGGTGAGGTCTTCCTGATCTTAGCAGGGTCTGTCCTGTGGGTTCATAAGCTTGTCTGCTGGGACATGGGGCGGGGCTGGAGTGGTATCTGATGCCTAAAGAGTGTGTGCTGAGGTCTGTGTGTATGTCTGCATCTTCTTCGTGTCCTTATCACCCATCAGGCTTACGTAACCAGGCTGACCCTGCTTCCTGCTCAGGAGCTATCAGTTTGCCCATCTGGAGCTGCAAATGGGGTGATAGGGCGTCAGCAGCTTTCCTGCAGGGCACCCAGGGACCTCCTAACACCCAGCTCCTGGTCTCCGCTGATCTCTGGGGGTCCTGGGGGTCCTGGGGCTTGGGCTAGCACCTCTGGCCAGGGGTGTGAGAGACAGAGTTTAGGAAATGCCTTCTGTTGCATGGACACCCACCGCCACCCTCCGACCTGTCCTGCAGCAGAACACTGGGACAGGCCTGTGCTGAGGGAGACAGAGGGAGAGGCTAGGCCAGAAGTTAGCCGTGTGGCCCTTGACAAGGCACGTCCCCTCCTCGGGGTCAGCTCCCAGCTTGGTGAATAGGGGCAGTCCTTCTACCGCACAAGGCTTGTGGGAATTGCAGTGGATAATGTATGGTACACGGTCAGCTCAGGTGGGCCAGCACAGAGCTCAGGGGGGCCCTGGGCCCTGGCCCCAGAGAGGAGCCTGCTGGGCGGACTCAGACACATAGCTGATTCCGAGTCTAGAACCCACGAGGAGACCCTCTTGTTGCTGTAGCTGCGGGACTTTGTCAGGTCGGCTGATCCGTCTGAGCCCCGGTCGTTTTTGGTGCAGCTCAGACAGTGGTGCCCAACCTCTTTCCCAGACACTGCGAGTGTAGGTGGTGACCCACTCTGCTGGGGAGCACTCCTCACAGGGAGGGTCTCAGGGCGGCACCCCCTGGGGTGCTCCTCCCACAGAGCCCCGCAGCCCCATTCCTTGCAGGTTGGACCTTGGAGAGCGAGGCCTTGACGGAGGGATGGGCACCCGGCTCCTGGTCTGCGTCTGGGTCGGCTTGGGAGTCTTGGTGTCAGGGGAAGGAGGAGGTGAGTGCACTAGGGACTGTGTGAGGTGTGGGGTGGGGGTGGGAGTGCTTCAGGGCAGGGCTGTCCTCTGTCAAACTCCTCGGGGAGGGCTTGGACCGAACTGTGCTGGGGCCTGTTCCCCGGGTACCAGCCTGGACTCCAGCCCCACCATGCACCACACCTTCCGCCTTCCGTAGCTCCCAGCCCTGCCCTTGATGAATTCTCCTCTATCATTCCTTGGGGACGACTACCCTGTTAGGTGTCAGCTTCCAGGTCCTCCCCCTCCCCCAGCCCTGACCTGAAGCAGCCACTGTGGGCTCCCAATGGTCACTGTTCCCAGGGCTAGGGGCTGGAACCCTCACCTGCCTCACCAACAACATTCTCAGGATCGACTGCCACTGGTCTGCCCCAGAGCTGGGCCAGGGCCCCAGCCCCTGGCTCCTCTTCACCAGGTGAGGCTGCGGGGCCAGGCCCCCCTGGGCAGAAGGCAGGGGTAAGGACGGGTCCCCATGACGGCAGCAGGGCCGGCTGGGGCAGCAGCTGCTTGGTGCTGACACACACCCCTTCTAGGAACAGCGAGCCGGGCAGCAGGCACAGGTGTGTCTTCCGGGCCAGCGTGTGCACCGTGGTGCTGCCGCCCAAGGAGGTCATCGAGCCTTCCGACAACTTCAGCGTCACTTTGCACCATTACATCTCTGGAAAGGAGCAAGTCAGCTTGGTGGATGCCCAGTACCTGCCCCGGAGACATGGTGAGGCCTGGGGTGGGCGCCTTGGTGGGAAACATCTTGGCTGCCAGGTTTGGAGCAGGGCCCTGCAGTAACGCCCCTGCCTGTGGGGGCTCTGGGTCCCTGAAGAGAGAGATCCAGGGCTGGGGTGAGGCTGGGCCCAGGATGGAGGCCCCGGTGGCTGGAGGGGTTGGGTTTTAAAGCACAATAAAGACACAGGACTCCAAGTTGGAGCTGGGGGCAGCTTGAGTCACTTGAAATGCCCTTCAGTCACAGCAGGAAGGAGCCAGTGAGATGGGGGGGGGGGCTACAGCAGCAGTTTATGAAGGAAAGGGAAGGAGAGCTTTGAGGGTCACCTGGTCTGGCTGCAGGGGCTGGAAAAACTCACTGCTGTCCTGTCTCACCTGGGGCTTCTTTGGACCAGCCTCCCAGGGGGGCCCCAGGAACCCTTCAGACCGCCTGCCATGCTGGCAGACACGCTCTCTGTGGCTTCGTTCTTTTTCAGTGAAGCTCGACCCTCCCTCTGACTTGCAGAGCAATGTCAGCTCTGGCTCCTGCGTCCTGACCTGGGGCATCAATCCTGTGCTGGAGCCACTGGCTTCGCTGCTCAGCTATGAGCTGGCCTTCAAGAAGCAGGAAGAGGCTTGGGAGGTAATGCTTGGGCTGGCGGGCCTCTGCCTCTCCGGAGAGCAGCAGCCCAGGGCCACTCCTCATTCCACACGTGGAGATGTTGACTTGAATTTATGAGAAGGGGAGGTGACCAGAGCCCGGAGTATGTGTGTACAAGCATGCACGTGTGTTTGTGCACACAGGTATGTCTGTATGCGAGTGTGCCTGTGCCTGACTGTGTGTGCATGAATACGTGTGTTTACATATGTGAGTGTTCACAGAGTGTGCATATGTATATGTGTGTAGGGAGGGTGGTGAGCCTGTTTGTGTGTGTGTGTGTGTGCGAGTGTGCACGCAGGTAGGTTAGGCGTGTGCCTGTGGACCTGTGCCTGCACACATGTGTAAGTGTGCCCATGTGTATATGGTGTGTGTGAGTGGTGAGCGTGCCTCTGTTTGCATGTGTATATTCTCAAGGGCTGATGGACCCCGTCTTACCCTCAGCAACTGCTAATTGTCCTCAACCCACAGTGGGCCCAGCACAAGGATCACATTATTGGGGTGACCTGGCTTATCCTTGAAGCTGTGGAACTGAACCCTGATTCCACCTATGAGGCCAGGCTGCGTGTCCAGATGGCCACCCTGGAGGACGAGATGGCGGAGGAGGAGCGCTATGAGGGCCACTGGAGCGAGTGGAGCCAGCCCGTGTGCTTCCCCTCCCCCCGCAGACAAGGTGGGCTCCAGGCTGCTCCCTGGGAGTCTGCGTGGGCATCTCCTCCCCTGTTTGCTGCACCCTCCCAGCCTTTTACTTCCCGGGACCCATCCCTGAGGCATCATGCCCCCATGACCACGCCGCCCTGGAGGTCTGAGGGGTGGGAGGAGGAAGCAAACACCTGCCCAGCACGGGGTCCCTGGCACCGGAAGTCAGTGGCCAGGGCTGGGAGTGAGTTGGCCCAGGCTGCACCCGAGGCCTCAGGGAGGGCTGCTCGGCCCTGTGCTCAGAAGTGCTGGGAAGGTTCACCCACCCTGACGGCAGTGCAGATGGTGAAGCCCAGGGGCGCACGATGCACCCCAGGCGCTTGAGCAGGCATGCTGCACCCCCCAAGGCTCGTAGGCCAGGGGTGTGTTGGCCGTGGGGTTTGGAGGGACATCCTGGTGCCGAGGCTGCTCACAGCTCTGGGCCCTTTCTGCTCTCAGACCCCCAGATGTCAACTTTGAGGCAGCCCAACAGCACCCTTGTTGCTGTGTTCATCTTTCTCCTGCTCACCAGCCTGACCTACCTCCTCTTCAAGCTGTCACCCAGGTCGGTAACCAAGGGCATGTGTGTGGCTGGGAATGTGTTATTGTGTGTGTGTGTGTATTTGTGTGCATGTGGATGTGTGTATATGCCAATGTGTGTGGTAGGTGGGGCTCTGAGGGCCAAACCAGGGCCTGCTCCGCCGGTGCCCCGCCCCTCTCCACTGTCGGCCCTGGATGGGTGTGGTTTTCAAGCCTCTGCCTTGGACCAGTGGGGAGTTTCCAAGTTGCCAGGCTGGGTGGGGCAGTTGCTGAGGAGGGATCCAAAAGTCACCAGGCCAAGTCCCCTGAGGCCCTTGTCTCCAGCCTCTAGAGGTGCTTGGTGGTTTGCTCTCTCATTAACACATTCTGTGAAAATACAGTTTGGGGCACCTGGTGTGCACAGGACCCCATTCTCAGTTCTGGGGTCTGCCTCAAGAACAAGATGGACACAGGCCCTCCTTACATGAGCCATCACCTCTGTCAGGTTATAAGGGAGGGTCGAGGGCCTCGTCGCGGACCGGGGTCCACAGGAGCCTGGCTGGGTGCCGACAGGTTGGATGAAGAGAGCAATGGGGTGGGTGAATGGTGAGGAAGAGGGGTGCTGGGCGGGGCCGATGGGCGGGGCCGAGAAGGGAAAGGAGGGTGCTGGGCCAGTCCTGGAGGGACAGCTCCGAAGCATGCTCACCAGTGTGTGGTGTGAGCTGGTTTATATTCTGAAACGGGGTTGTTGAGGTCCAGGGGTGGGGATCCGCTGAGCGGCCGGGGTGGTGTCCAGAGAGAGGCAGTGTGGCTTGAGCTGGAGGGAGAAGTGAAAACAGAGCAAAGTGGAGAAAACTGCCAGGGTCTTAGGAAGAGAAACTGAGGGGAGGAGACACCAGTGACTCCCGGTGTCACCCTGAGGGGAGAACTGGAGACTCCAGGCCCCAGGGGAGGTCGGTAAAGGTGACTTGGACCTATTGGGTTGGAGCCCCGTGCCACGTCCTTGTGGGAGGGCCAGTGGGCCCAGGGCAGGTAGACCTGGTGCTCAGAGAGAAGTCGGGAGGGAAGCGGGTTGCCATCTGCCTGCTAATGACACAGTTGGGGTTCTTGGAGGTGCTGGCTCCTCTGTGGGTGGAGGTCACAGCTGGTTACCCCCACCCCTGAACTCACCATCACAACACCCTGTAAAGGACGCATGTCTTGGTATAAACCAGTTCTATGGGGTCATTAGCCAGGGAGGCCACAGAGCGCCAGGTGTTGGGTCTCTCCCTGGGACAGATGAGGGAGGGGCGCGAGCAGGCGGCCGGCGGGGTGCGGCGGAGCTGCCCCCTGCCGGCGGGAGGGAGCGAAGTTCCTGCAGGGACCTGGCTCCTGGAGGAGTCCCTGCTGAGTGGGCTCTGCCTCCCGGCCTCAGGGTGAAGAGGACCTTTCACCAGCACGTGCCGACGCCGGCGGCCTTCTTCCAGCCGCTCTACAGCGCGCACCGCGGGAACTTCCAGGTGCGGGGGACCGGCCGAGGTCGGCGCGCAGGATGTGGGCTCTGGGGAGGGCTGGGGTGAGCACCGGGCCTCCTCAGTGCTTTGAGCTTTTTTGGTATATATAGTGGGTTTAAATTTACACACTGTGTCTCAAATGGGCAAAAAAAAAAAAAAAAAAATTAGCTTTATTTTCTATTGCTCATTTCTTTTTGTTCTGGTGTCTCTAATTCCCTGCTGATGGGGAAATATGGAAACTTCTTATGACATGATCCGTCTCTTGTGGTTTGCAGCGGCCCCTTTGGGGTAAATGGTCAGTTCAAGGGGCGCGATACAGGGCTGTCTGCACCTGCTACAGCCTGGTCCTCGCTCCCTCTCCCGAGGTGTCTGTCGGGCTGCGGGGAGGGTCTCTAGCGCCTGAGCTGTCCTGGGGGCCCTCACTCGTCCCCGGGCTGCTGCTCTGGTAGTCACATGGAGTGCCCGGCCCTTCCCGTCACCTGGGGAGCACACTGGCACCTGGGCCGACGAGGAGACTGTACATTTCCCCCTTGGTGGAACGCCGCTGGGCTCCCACGGAGGCAAGCAGAGAACAACGCAGAGCACGGCCTCAGACCCTCCAGCAGACCTTCGGCTCCCTGCTGCCCTGGCAGGAGGGCCGGGAGGAGGGGCTCCCACGGGGTCTCTGGTCTCCACCCTCTCGGCCCCTCACTTTGGCCCAAGGACGGGAGGCAGCGCCCCCGGGCTCCCCTGGCCGCCCTTCCTGCGGCCTCCCCTCCTGCGCAGCCCTTTCTCTCTCGCCAGGAGCCTGGTTTTCAAAATTGTCCAAAAGTATCATTTGAAGCTCAAAGCTAGCACTTTGTCCTTGGTGGGGTCCACCCCTTTCCCCAAGGCAGTGGATGTGACCCGATCCCGGAGGTGCTGAGGACAAAGGCTGAGTGGGACAAAGGTTTTGATTGTCCCTGGGTCGCAGGTACCCAGCCCCTTCTCTGGGGAACCGTGACGCCTGTCGAGGGGTGGCCTGGAGCCATAGTCTGTGTCCAAGGAGCCCAGCAGTGATGGAGGATGTGGTGTGCGAGGTGCATTTGGTGGGGACTCCTGGTCCCGCCCAGGGAACAGCTTTCTTTTGGAGGCGGGGGCCTCCTGTGGCCCCACAAAGTGTCCAGGTCTGCCTGCCTGAACCCACAGGCTCCAGGCCCACAGGCACCTCCAGTCCTCGGTGTGTGCGAGGGTGAGTGGGTCAGGTGAGCGCTGTAGCTGCTGCAAGTGCCAGAGCAGGGGTCACAGGTTTGCTCCGTCCCCGCACCTGTCACCTCTGTGCCTGTTCAGGGGCTGTGAGCACCAGGCCCTGTGCTGGGAGAGAGGTGAGGGGCCTGAAGGGACTCGGGGTCCCGTGCTGAGGCTGGGCTGGTGCTTGGGGGGACCACAGAACCTTCCGGGCACAGGTGTGGCTTGGCCTCTGGGTCTGGGTGTCAGGAGAGCTTCCTGGAGGAGGAGGCTGCTTCCAGAGTGACTACTGAACATGCTGCCCGATCCCCATGCTCTGTTCCAGACCTGGACCGGGACCCACAGAGCCGGTGTTCAGCTGAACCAGGACTGTGTTGGTACCGCACAAGCAGCCTCGGAGTCCAGTGTTCGGGACGCCATTTCGTTGCTTACCTATGACCTGGTGGCCCCCTGGCCATTCGTGGGCCTGGAGGACGAGAGTACTGGCACAGGACTTCCAGCGGATGTGTTGCCAACAGCCCTGGAGTGGGCAGGGCCCCCGCCTGCCTACCTGCCGCAAGAGGAGTGGGTCCCTGCGAGCCCCCGCAGGCCGGCGGCCCCGCAGTCAGAGGGCAGTAGCAGTGACTACTGTGCCCTGAGCTGCTATGGGGGGTGCGACCCCTCACCTTTCCTGGGAAGCATACAGAGTTCTGGGCCCATCCAGGCCTTGGTCTATGGCATTTTCTGTGATCAGCAGAGCCTGGAGGCCAGGCAAGGAGATAACTATGTGGGAGCCAGTCACAGTCAGAGGCGAGACCCTGGTGAACAGGCTGCATGAGGACCTTGGGCGTTTTCTGCCCTCCTATCCTCAGCGGACAGTGGGCTCAGTCCTGAAAGTTCCAGAACCTTGACTTGGCCAGCTGCATCATGTCCACTCTGGGGAAAATGGACTAAAGTCTCTGGAGCTGACCCTTGACTGGTACTGGACCTCGGGCAGCAGGCCACTTGTGCAGGAGTCAGACACCCTGTCTGGATGGAGGCCTCTCCTCCTTCCTCTCTCCACAGCACCCGTGGGAAGGGGCCTCTGCACTCAGCATCCTGCCAACCAGCACCCCCCCCCCCGCCCTCCCTGCTTTCTCCTGGATCCCAGGCTCCTCTGAGAGGAGGCTGTTCCCACAGCCGGTTCTGCTCTCACCCCTTAAAGGGCCAGCCTGGGCGCGGTGGACACAGGTGAGATGCGGTGGCCAGGCTGAGTGCCTTCCGGAGGTGGCTCTCCTGCTGAGATGAAAAGGCACAGAGTCGCTGCTCCGAACTGCTGATGCTGGGAGAGGGGGCCAGACGGAGGTGAGGGTGGGGGGTCTCACCCTTCCTGGGCTTTCTGGACTCTTGGAATAGCAGTGGCTCCAGCTGAGGCCAACTCCTGCCCCTCCTTGTCCTCACCCTGTCATGGGTCCCATGAGGCTGAGCCCTGTGGCCGAATCATAGTTCTGGAGCCTGGAAGCCTGAAGTCTAGGTGTCAGAGGGCCATGAGGACACTAGGGAAGATGCATTTCAGAGCTCCCTCAGCCTCTGCCAGAGGCTCGGCTTGGGACAGCATGGGTCCAGTCTCACAGGGTGTTTTCCTCGTGGGTGTGTCCGTCCAAATCCCCCTTTTAGAGCAACACAGTCGTAGTGGACCAGGCTGATCCCAGTGGCTTCATCTTGACTTGGTTGCCTAAAGAGGCCACATTCACAGGTACTGAGAATTTTGGGGGAACACAATTCAACCCGGAACAGTGTCCCTGCCTCTGTCAGCGACAGCCACCTCCCTGCCAGCTCCAGGCACTGTGCCCCTCCCAGGGCACCCTGTCCCTCTCAGCGGGTGCCTCTGGAAGACCCGCTCCACCCGGCTGCTGGGCTTGGGGCTGCCGCTGGGATCCTCTGCCAGGTGGGCTGGGATGAAACTTTTCTGGAGCTGGATGGAGGTGCTGAAGTTTCAGACGTAGAATAAAATAGAAGCCTGTCTCTCTCTGGGTGCTGAACATATCTCCAGTGTCCCCTGTGGCCTGGGCAGAGGAGAAGCACTCTAGCCCAAGGGAAAAGACCCCTTCTGGCTCAGACGGGCATCCCTCTCTCCTCTGTGTGCCTGTGGAGCCCCGAGGTTTTGTGGGAAGCCTCAGTGAGCCGGATCCTGGTCAACGGGGACAAAACAGGACCCCAGATGTATCTTTAATATCCAGAGAGCGAGAGCGGGGTGGGCGGAAGTGAGGCGCAGGCATCCTCGGCTGGGCTCTAACCACGTATAAAAATACCATTGTGAATCCACTTCCTGGAGCCAGCCCCTGGAGAGCCCCAGGCTGGTGTATTTATAACAGCATCACATGCTGCAGGCAGCTTCGCGTGGGACCTGGGCCACCGGCATGATTGGACAGTGACCCCCACCGCTGGGACCCGTGGCCAGGGGCGGCGTTCGTTTGACTCCATGTTCTCTCGGTAGCACTGGAGACCTGACCCTGGGCTGGAACTTGGGTGGAAGCCATTTAGAGGCTGTTTGGCCTGGTCGGCGTGGCTCAGCGGTTGAGCATCGACCCACGCACCAAGAGGTCGCTGGTTGGATTCCCGGCCAGGACTCATGCCCAGGTTGTGGGCCCGATCCCCAGTGGGGGGCATGTAGGAGGCGGCCAGTCGACGTTCTCTCTTATCCATGTTTCTATTTCTCTCTCCCTCTCCCTTCCTCTCTCTCTAAAATCAATTAAAAAAAAAGTTTTGCCCAGCCTGGTTTGGCTCAGCGGGTAGAGAGTTGGCCTGCAGTCCAGAGAGGCTGTTTGACTGATTGGAGGTGAGGCACACCTGCCCCTTAGTAGCTGGGACCAACAAGGCTTCATGGAGTTGCTGTGAGTTCACCTGAGCAAGATGCCAGCACACTGTGGCGCTCAGAAAACACGAATCCCCCTTATGGAGATGAGACGAATCCCCCTTATGGAGATGAGACAGCCCTCGGAGAGCAGAGCCTGTTCCAGACCTGTGAGCCCTGCGGGGGTTGCCGATGGCGGGCCGTCTGTGAAGGAGTCGGAGGGAAGGGGGCCTGGGAAGGGAATTCGGACACTGCTTGGGGTTGAGGAGCCAAGTGGACAGCGTGGCCCCTGGACTCTGTGATGGGCTGAGAGCAGCGAGGGAAGAGGACAGCCATGGATGGTTCCCTTATTCTTTGTTTCTCAAGGAGATACAATTCATATAACGCAAACCCAACTGTTCAAAACAGTGACATTTAGTACATGCATAATACAACATCGCCTCTATCAAGTTCTGAAGCATTTTTGTCACTCCAAAAGGAGATCCCCTGCCCCAAAGCGGTCACTTCCCCTTCCACCCCACCCTGACCACTGGCACTCTCTGAGCTACCTCGGGCCCTATTTGGGATGTTGCACAGGAATGGAATTATACATGTGATGCTCTGTGGTCAACATCTTTGCCTTAGTGTAATGTTTTCGAGGTTTACTCGCATTGAAGTATTGGCACCTCACTTCTTTTTATGGCTGAATACAGGATGGGGAAAAGTAGGTTTATAGTTGTTTGTATGGAAAATACTACAATAATTAATAAGTAAGAATACAAGAATAAACTCGGGCTTTTTTGTATTCACAACTGTAAACCTACTTAAAAAATGTATTTATTTTTTATTGAATTTTAGAGAGAGAGGAAGGGAGAGGGAGAAAGAGATAGAAACATCGATGAGAGAGAACATCGATTGGCCACCTCCTGCATGCCCCCCACTGGGGATCGGGCCCACAACCTGGGCATGTGCCCTGACCAGGAATCAAACCTGTGTGCGACCTCTTGGTGCATGGCTTGACGCTCAACCACTGAGCCACCTGGCCGGGCTGTCAGCCTACTTTTGCATCACCCTGTCATATTCTGTTGTATGGTTATACCACATTTGTTTATTCATTCATCTGTTGATGACATTGGATTGTTTCCACCTTTGCACTATTGTGGCAGGATAGCAAGAAGCTAGGGAAATTCCTCGACAAGTGAAATTAGGGAAATTGAGACAAAATAATTAAACAAGGCCAAACAATTGGAGCAATTTACAGCTGGCTAATGAATCACAAGGTTTTATCTTCCCTAACCAAGGACACTAAGGAGCAAATGCTTTGCACATTCCAGACCATCCCGGGACAGAATAACCTGGGTCCTGCTCCTTCTTCGATGGTTTTCTTGATGAAGTTCTGTAAAAATGAAACTAACCAGACATTACACGCAGCAGAATTTTCACAGATACATTGTCTAAGGCAAGAGAAACAAAGGAAAAATAAACAAGTGGGACTACATCAAACTAAAAAGCTTCTGCATGGCAAAAGAAACCAACATCAAAATGAAAAGAAACCCACTGAATGGGAGAACATATTTGCCAATGATACATCAGATAAGGGGTTAATTTTCAGTATATATAAAGTACTCATACAACTCAACAAAAGGAAGACATACAATCCAATTAAAAATGGGCAGAGGATCGGAATAAACACTTCTCCAAAGAGGACATACAAATGGCCAAGAGACATATAAAAAATGCTCATCATAACTAATCGTCAGAGAGATGCAAATTAAAATGACTATGAGGTACCACCTCACACCTGCCAGAATGGCTGCCATCAACAAATCATCAAACAACAAGTGCTGGCGAGGGTGTGGAGAAAAGGGGACTCTAGTACACTGCTGGTGGGAATGCAGACTGGTGCAGCCACTATGGAAAACAGTATGATGTTTCCTCAAAAAATTAAAAATGTAATTGCTGTTTGACTCTGTGCTCCCACTTCGAGGAATATATCCTAAGAATCCCGAAACACCAACCAGAAAGAATATATGCAACCATATGTTTATAGCAGGGTTATATACAATAGCTAAGATCTGAAAACAGCTTGAGTGTCCATCAGTAGATGAGTAGATAAAAAAAGTTGTGGTATATTTACAAAATGGAATACTATGCAGCTGTAAAAAAGAAGGATCTATTGCCTGTTGAGACAGCATGGAGGGACCTGGAGACTATTATGCTAAGTGAAATAAGCCAGTCAGAGAAAGACAAATATTACATGATCTCACTTATATGTAAACTCTAATGAACAAAATAAACTCATGAATAAAATAGAACCAGAGGCATGAAAACATGAAACAGGCTGCAACACCTCAGAGGGAAAGGGAGTACAGAGGGTGGGGCAGGAAGTGTTTAACCAAAGAACTTATATGCATATATGCGTTGCCCATGGACACAGACAATAGGGTGGTAAAGGGCTGGGGCAGGGTGGAGGGGGGCAATGCAGGGAAAAAAAGAGACATCTGTAATACTCTCAACAATAAAGATAAAAAAAAGAAAAAGAAACTAACCAGAAAACAACCCCTGACCCTTTATAGGCGTATTTTGATGAATCAACATATTAAAGGACACACCTGAAAAGCTAATGAATATTCTGCTAAGACCCTCCCCTGAGACCTCCCCTAGGATTGCCAGGCCAAAGAAAGATAAAAAGCCTCATGACAAAGGACATGTGGAGCGTTCTCGCTAGAGCACACTCACGCCTTGTATCCTGCTCTTTTTCTAAGGGTCCCCATGAGACTCGCAACCAGGGGAGCAGCGGGCAGTGGCAGCTTGAGCTGGGCTAACCCCCTGGCCCCAAGGCTCCATCTCTGACTTTTCTGCTCTCTCCTGTTGCTGCTTCTACCTTAAGCCCTTCCTTGTTTCACTGTCCCCAGCTTTAATAAACATCCTCTCAAAATCACCTGAGCTAGTGTTGTGACATCTTTCCTACACAAAGTCAAGAGCCCACACACTACCTTCTGGTCCAAGGCAGACCCGCTCCGGGCCCAGACCCGGTCTGATGCCAGAGTGCTATAAACACTCATGTGCAGGTTTCTGTTGGAATGCCTGTTTTCAGTTCTTTTGTGTATATTCCTAGGAGCGGAAGTGCTGGAGCATACGGTAATTCTATGTTTAGCTTTTTGAGGAACCGCCAAACTGTTTTCTACAGTGGCTGCAACATTTTACATTTGCGTCTTGAATGTACTAGGATTCCAACTTCTCCGAGCCCTCAACAGCTCTTGTT